AATTGAGAATGTTTTGGCCACAGAGACTGGTGAAACGTCAGGAATAACAACCTTCAGAACACAGCCAAAGAGCTCAAAAAACCCACAACAACCATCAGATCCCGGCCGTGAAAGCCTTCGAGAATACATGAACCTGGAATACTTGTTCACTTGGGTTATGGTGTGTTATACCTGCAACATTTGCTCAATTTTGACCAGCAGGGAAGAAATGATATGTAAATAAACTCTTCCTCAGACATCCCTCCTTCCTGTGAGCTCATGTGCAGGAGAAAAGGGGATTTCCCCAGTACAGTAACGGTATATTATTGCAAACAGTATTTGCTTGCGCCTATACTAACGGAAGCTCCAAAACAACTGCAAGATCAAACGAATGCTAATGTGAAACTCGGACTACAACACTCTCTAGCCATGCTGTCTGGGGAATTCTGGGAGTTGTAGTCCGAAAAAGCGAGGTGGCCAAGCTCTGCCCTCAAGACAGGCTTCTTTCTCCTGCTCGACTGCGTGGCCTGCAGGCGCCTTTGGGACTCTCGGGGCGCTAGAAGCGCGTCTCCCTCCGGCGGGCCGGGGGTGGTGGTGAGGCTCGTTCGCTCAAATCCCGTCGCCGCTGCTTGGAGGCGGGCCTGGGCTTGGCGCCTAGTGGGTCGGAGGTTAGACTTTGACCTGCCCGGAGCGCGGCGTGGAAAAGGAAGGAAGAAAAACAAGAAGGGCAGCGGCGGCGACTGGGGCGACATGGCTGCGCTGAAGGTCTCTCGGGTGAGAAGGCTGGCGGGGAGATTGGTGCCGGGGGGTGCGCAGAAGGGAAGGCCGACGGGAAGGGGAAGAGCCGCGGCGGAGCAGGGCGTCTTCTTAAGCACGGCCTGCAATCGGGGAGACGAGGAGTTATAGTTGAAGGTTTTCGTCTTGCAGTCTTTTGTCTGTTGGGGTGGTGGGGGTGGCGACGGCTCTGGGTTCAGATTCGTACCTTGAGTTGGATGGCACTTCGATACCGGGAGGGTGTAAGGTAACTGAATCACTACATACAGTCTTGCACAGTTGAGACAGCATTAATTTCAGTGGCTTCTAAATTGTGCATTTCGTTATTTTTATTTTATTTTATTTGTTTGTTTATTTGCCTGCGGTCCAGTCGATTCCGATTTATGACGACCCTTTCTACGGTTTTCTAGGTAGAGAGTACTCACGAGAGGTTTACCATTTTTCTTTCTTCTGGGGCGCCCTGGGACTGCGCGGCTTGCTCATGATTACACAACCTGGCTTTTCTCCCAGGAGGTGTAGTGAGGAATTGAATTCCCAACCTCTGGCTCTGAGACCAGAGACCTAAACAACCACTGGTCGTGGTTGCTATCAAAAACTGACTGAATTGGGGGTGTGGTTTTTTGGAGAACAGGAAACACCACATTGCTGGGGGAAAGGAAAGGTAGAAGGAAAAGAGGAAGACTGTATATGAAAGGGATAGACCCAGTAAAGGAAAAAACTGACTGAATTGGGGGTGTGGTTCTTTGGACACATCATGAGAGGACAGGAAACATCACATTGCTGGGGGGAAGGTAGAAGGAAAAGAGGAAGACTGGATATGAAAGGGATAGACCCAGTAAAGGAAACCACAACTTAAAATTTGGAAGAGCTGAACAGAGTTGTTAATGATAGGACTTTCTGCACATAGGGTTGCCGTAAATTGGAGCTGACTTGACAGCACATAACAACTGTTAGGACATAGGGTTGCCCTAAATTGGAGCTGACTTGACAGCACATAACAAGTGTTAGTATCTAGAAGAAAGAAAAAAGAGCCACCTTTACATGACTGTAGGAGAAGAGCCTTTCATTAGAGTGAACATATAGTGCTCTCAAAGAAATTATACTACTGTACTCATATTTCAACAAACAATAAAGGACACTATATTTCACATGAAGCATATCTATAGTAATCTAGTCAGATCCTTCACCTTTCTATTGTCCCTATTTTTTTACTCCCAAGCTGGAATTGAAAAGTGTAACAGTGCTCTAAAAACAAGAGTTTTAGAAATAAATAAAAATATTTCGAACACTGATTCTGTGTTTCAGAAATTACTGGGTTTGAATCATTTATTTATTTATTTATTTTATTTATATTCCGCCCGTTTAGACCAAAGTCTCCTTTGGGCGGCTAACAACATACCAAAATAAAATAAAGCAACAATATTAATACACTAGAGGATGGCGACATACCAAAATAAAATAAAACAACAATATTAATACACTAGAGGATGGCGAAATAACTTGGGCATTGACAGGAGGGAAGGCCTGTCTGAAGAGCCAGGTCTTAAGTTGGCTCTTAAAAACGCCCAGCGAGGGAGCCAGACAGATTTCTGTGTGGAGATTGTTCCAGAGCCGAGGGCCTCTGTCAAGAAGGACCGCTTTCTTGTTCTTTATCTTTGGGCTTCCTTCGGTGTTAGGCCGCTCAGCCGCCCCTCCTGGCTAGAGCAAATGATACAGATAGATCTAGGTGGGAGAAGGCGTTCTGCCAGATATTGAGGTCCTAAACCGTTTAGGGCTTTATATGTCATCATTAGTGCTTTGAAATCAATGTAGATACGAACAGGTAGCCAATGCAAGGCCGTCAGAGTGGGGGAGATATGTTCATGTTTTCTCACCCCAGTAGGAAGTCTGGCCACTGCATTCTGCACCGTTTGAAGCTTCCGCATCAGTCTCAAAGGTAGCCCCACGTAGAGCGCATTACAGTAGTCTAATCTTGAGACTACAAGCACATGGACCAGAGTGGTGAGGGCCCCAACATCAAGATAGGGACACAGCTGGGCGATCCGCCAAAGATGGAAGTAGGCAGTGCGGGCCATTGACGCTACATGAGTTTCCATGGTAAGTGCTGTATTAGGATGTATCCACAAGCTGCAAACCTCAGTCTTTGTGGTGAGAGTCAACCCCCCCCACCCTGAAAGTGAGGGAGTTTCCCAAACCACCAATGTCTGGACCACCCACCCTCAGGAACTCCGTCTTGTCCGGGTTCAGCCTCAGACCATTTGCCTGCATCCGCCATTGACGCTACATGAGTTTCCATGGTAAGTGCTGTATTAGGATGTATCCACAAGCTGCAAACCTCAGTCTTTGTGGTGAGAGTCAACCCCCCCCACCCTGAAAGTGAGGGAGTTTCCCAAACCACCAATGTCTGGACCACCCACCCTCAGGAACTCCGTCTTGTCCGGGTTCAGCCTCAGACCATTTGCCTGCATCCATCCCAGTACAGCATCCAGACAGCGCTGAAAGGACAGAATGGCATCCACTGTTGTAGGGAAAAAGGCGATGTAGAGCTGGGTGTCATCAGCATACTGATGACACGAAGCCCCACACCCCCTGATGACCTGACCCAGCAGCCTCATGTAGATACTAAACAGCATTGGGGAGATAATTGAGCCCTGCAGAACCCCACAATTGAGATTCCACGGAGCCAATACACTGTCCCCAAGCTGTACTTTCCAGGGACGGTCCTCCAAGAAGGATCAGAGCCAGGATAACGATAAAGCTGAAGTGTAATGCTTAACATTTATTTAGCTTTCACTCAGTGATGTCAGTGGGGCTGAATAAACATACACAGTTCATTGCATTGCCGAAGTAAGTTGGATAGAAGGACTGCTGTCTTAGCATTCTGGAAATTGGAAATTCAGATTGGCGTATGCTGAGAGGTACTATTTAGATCTTTTGTTTCTGTAGCTCATGGGTTATTTCCCAACTTGAACGTAGTTAATCCATAGTTGCTGCTATGATTTCACTAGGACAGGTTGAGCTAAATTGGTTCTTTTTAAGAAAAATAGACCCTGATGTAAGCATTTTAGAACAAATATACTGTTGCTAGGTATTCAATATGTATTAAATGTTTTGAAGTATTCATGCTATCTGCAGTGAGTATGCTACATTGTCACATTCCAGTTTATTACAGGCTGATTTATAGGCTGTAGACTTTAGCAGCATTCCATTAGATTGGTGATGGCCACAAATCATAACAAGTAAGAGTAGTGTGCAATATGAATGGTTGCAATCACTTGTCAAATAAAAAAATAGAAATAGTGGCTGAAATCCTGTTGCATTTTTATGCAACCAGAAGGCAAATGGCATAACATTCTCTTGCTTCCAGATGGCAATTAAAGAGTCTCTGCTGGCAATTAAAGAGTTTCATATGGCAATTAAAGATTCCTGAGCATGTACCAAGCCAGTGGGCATGTATGCCCCCAGGAATAGCAGTGGCAATTCATGAATTGCCAGCTGGAAGTGAGTTACTGCATTTGCTTCTGCCTGCATTCAGGATTACAGCTACAGTGTATTCTGGGAATTCCTTTGAGCATTTACAATAAGGTCTTTAGAGTCTAGCTCACATTATAAACATTTAAACCTGATGTAGAAGGCCAACAGATATCCAACGTTTGAATACCGAAAATAAATGTGTAATAACAGAATGCTGTGTATGCCTGTCCAAGCCAGAGATTTAAAACCATACAGTATAATGTACATGCTGAAAAATGGCAATTGTATCTGGTGCCAGGAGTAACTGAGTTACCCCAATTATCAGGGGCTTTAATAATCAAAAATTACCTCAGGATAGCTGTTGGTGGTTCTGATTCCAGTGGCAGTGATCCAATGGTGATTTGTACTATTAAAAGCTCCCTTCCTGCCCACATTTCAAGGCTGAATCGGGGGAGGGGGGGATAGAAAGATTTAAATTAATTATTGCCTGGATCTGGTTTGAACTAGCAGAACTGTGCCAATAGGATTCTGTTCACTGTTTATTTGAATCCTGCAGTGTCATCTTCCTTAATTAGGTGGCATACTTTCCTAGCAAGCATGTACTGTATCTTTGAATTGGTAGATTTACAAATCAAGGTGTGGTAGTCTGAGGCACTGGTTCTTAACCTTGGGTTACTCAGGAGTTTTGGACTGCAACTTCCAGAAGCCTTCACCACCAGCTGTCCTGACTGGGGTTTCTGGGAGTTGAAGTTCAAAAGCACCCGAGTAACAAAGGTTAAGAACCACTGGTCTGAGGGACAGAACCATTAAGCTGCCCCATCTCAACTGTTGTAGAGCATCCTCCCTCATAGACATGGAGGAACAGTGCTCAAGAAGGAGGGCACAATAGCGTTTGACATGCCTGGAGTATGTCATAGGCTGTGGCTTCATTCTTGCATGGCAGCAGCAGTATGTGCAACACTGATGGTTGCACAGCTTTGCTTGTAGGTTTCCGTAGATCAGATGGCTATTCCAACTGATATAAAGACAGGTACTTTCGCTAGTTAAACAATTAGCTGAGCCAGCTTCTGTGCTTGTGTGTTGATTACTGGTACAGTACATAACCAAGCAGTTACTGTACTTAACTGCTTTTGGTATCTGCCCCATCTTACTAGGCTTCTTAGTGTATTTTAAACCTGCCATTTTAATACTTAATGTTGTAGTGGCTTACATTGTCATCCTTTGTAGCATCAATCAGATTCTAAAGGTTGTGGAAAAATCCCACAGTCTCTTTCTCTGGCCAGGCATATATATGCTCTGTGAGCAAACATTTCTTCTAGCAGGTGTTCAGGAAAGTAGAGAATCAACAGGGTAAATATCACATTTGTGTGCCAGGATTTCTGAAACAAAATGATTACTATGAGAATGGAATATAGAACTGTTTACCACAGGGGGAGGAGGTATATGGAAGCAGCCTTAATGGAAAAGGTTAGAGCCTTAAAACTACCATACCATTGTGAATGTAACAGAATCAAGTGATAGTGAGCAATCTGCTTGTTTCAAGTATGCCATAGGAGGTAGCCAACCAATCCAAAACCTTGAAATGCAAGGAAGGAAAGGAACCTAGTAAAAATTAGCATTGCAGACCAAACTCCACCATCTTTGCTGAACTATTGTGATGTGTGCATAAATTTTAGTGGGCAGTTTACAATTTTTTAAAAAATTAAACAATATTTAAATATATCAGAAATGGAGTATAAAAGCTGTTTCCAAAGAGGTAATTGTGTTAGTCTGTTGCAGTGAAAACAACAGAATCCTGTGGCATTTTAAAGATTGTCAATTGTTTTGTAGCATGAGCTTTCTTAGACTCATTTCCTCAGCTGCAACATTTGTTCCAAAATTTAAAAGCCACTAGTTATTTAGTACTTCGGGTAAAATTACAGTATTCTTTTAAAGAGTTGCAAGTGCATAGTATTAACAAAAATTTTGTGGCCTTTTGTACAAATTTTGTGTATATATATATATATATAAATTTAGGCGCACACACACACACACACACACACACACACACACACACACACACACACGGTTTTGCACACAGAATATGTGTACTTGCTAGAGTAGATTTTATATTCACACCTACCCAACAGGGGGCAGCTTTAGCCTTCTAGATGTTTCTGGCCTACAGCTCTGCTCAAGCCAACATAGCCAGTGGGAGAAGGGCTGTAGTAACGAACATGGTTTTGCATGCAGAAAGTCCCAGGTTTGCTTGTCTGCCTGTCCAGGTAAGGCTGGAGAAACATTGCATGGCATAGGCTAGGAGTGTGATCCAGTACAAAGCAGCTTCCAGTGTTGGGAACATTTTTTTTACATTTTGTTTTTATTATATAATCAGACAACAATCAAAGAGAGAAAATACATGGGGGAGAGGAAAGAAAACAAAACACAACAGAACAGAGGCACGGGGAAGGAAACTGATACATAGGGGAGAGGAAAGAAAACAGAACACAACAGAACAAAGGCACGGGGAAGTGTTTACAGTAATAAAATATCTAATATAACCTTGGCTCCATGGCTGTATTAAGATACTAAAATCCCTAACATATGCTATGTTCTCTATTCATGTTTGTTTCTGGCCCCAATCATAAAACACTTTCCAGCTCTCTTTAACATATATTCTTGGGTTTACACGTAAAGCCTCTGATAGGCTATCCATTTCTGCAATATCCAATAATTTTTAAACAGCTCCTCCATCTTCGGATTTTCCTGATTTTTCCATTTTGGGGCCCAGATAAACCTTGCAGCTGTAAATATGTGCAATAACATATATATAACATATATAGATATATATCCCCAATAATTTCTGGTATTATATTCAGCAAAAACATTTCTGGAAACCTTGCAGCTGTAAAGGCTATTTTTGTTGTATAATTTCTTGTGTAATATCTTTTATCTGTCTCCAAAATCTTTTTTACTCTATCACATATGAAAAAAGCCCCAGGTTGCTGACAGCACTTCCAACATGATATGTCCACCACATATGAAAAAAGCCCCAGTTTGCTGACAGCACTTCCAACATGAGTTGCTAACCCCTGACTCACTGTTGATAACATTTAGAGAGAAAAAAAGTTACACCTTGTCTTTCCCAATTAGTGTTGGTGACATTTGGAGAGAAAAAAAAGTTACACCTTGTCTTTCCCAATTGGAAGCATCACTGCAGTCTATTTTTAAAAGTTAGGAGCTTCAACATTATATTTGGGGGCCCTTCTTCCCTCTTCCTTCCTTGTCCCAGTTCCCTTCACAATTCTGCCTTAGTTAAGTTTTTTAGGTCCTCATAATTTTAAAGCTCATTGGTATGATCTGTTTGCACTATGAAATCTTATTCAGACTCTTATCATTCCCATCCTGTGTTGATTTATTGTTATAGTTCATTTAGTACTTTTCTTCTCTTTTAGGTTATGTTTTTTATCTGAGTTCCTAAAGTTTCTGCTCACTTACTTCTGTGCTTTATATATATATCTCTGTGTGTTAATCAGTTTTTTCTGGCATTTTGTATTATGTTTAAGCTTCTGAACATTATACTATTGCATAGTTTTTCCTTTCCTTTTCTAATTTTGTTGATTTTTCTCTCCATTCTTCTTTCTTCTGTTCATCACCCTTATTAACATTCACTCCCTTATGCTATTTAGCACTGTGTTTTCTCTGAGCCTCCTTTGTGTGGAAATCTCACCTTTCTTTATTTCTTATATGCCATGTAATAATTGTAATTACCGGTTGTACAGGCTAGTTGTAATGGGTGACAGTTAGTACCCCTACCTTTAGATTATACACCAATGGGCAAAGAGCTATACTTTTTATTTCTATGCTCTTATCATATATTAAGCATTTTTTAAATAATGCCTTCATTCATTTTTATTTTGCCTTTTTTCAGAAATTGCCCAGAGCAGTTGAAATGCTAAGATATGTTAGATTTATTTTTGTCCTACTGCTCTATATCATGATTCATATTAATGTAGAAGTGTACAGTAATAATTGGCACATCTTCATTTTGTAGCAGGATTGGTTGTATAAAGATAGGTACCCAAAGGAGGAACAGTACAGCCCATACGAATAAGAGGTAGAAACAGACTGATTGTATTCTGAGCCCAAACTAGCTCCACAGAAGGATAACATATTTTTATTACAAACTGGATGATCGTTTACTCCTCATTGAAAAATACATAATGTGTCATCAGTTACTTGTAGTCCAAAATGTATTGTGGTCTTCGCTGCATCTGTGAGTTTCAGCGCTGACCCTTCTTCTGTCAGGTTTGTAATAAGTTCGGAGAATTTGACCTATCATGAAAGGTATTCATTCTCATCAAAATCAAATTTTCAGGTGATACAAGGCATTGCTTCATTTGGCTGGAGGGCACAATCAAGCCATGCTCCTGCAGCAGCATCAAAAAGCAAATTTGCGGCGGGATTTAACTTTGGTAAGTACACAGCAACCCTTATTAAATAATTACTGTATATGTGTTCAACCAAGGTTTCATGGGAGAGCAGCATGAAAATTGAATTAAAAACATTGTTCTAGAACATCTGCTGCATGGCTCTGGCAACGCTGTGTCCGTCCAATGTTGTCACCTTCAGTGAAGTTATAAGTCAGAAAAATAACTTTCCCAGGCTTTGCTCAGAACTAGCTGTAGACTTCCTGAAGGTATTCCATTGGTCAGTGTGGGAAACAGAATGCTAAAATAGATGCCCTTCTGATATGATGATATGAAGTACTGGTCTCAGATGAAAAGCCTGGTCTGGAGAAAGGTGGGGATAACTCTTGTGCAGTCAGAAACATGCTTCTGCAGGAGGAAAATTAACAATCCTTGTTCAAACAGATAGAGGCTTCTATTTGCTCTTCTCTTCCCCCAACACCATTCCACTATTATATTTTCTCCTCAGTAGTGATTTTTTTTTGATAATGATGCATTGTTCCCCTGTGTGTATATGTTTTTTTTAATGAAAGTTCTGCTATCATTTCATCCAAACAGGGCCTTGCTTGTATTGCTGTTCTGCTTTGTGTCTTACAATGTCATAGCAATGGAATAATTAAAAAATGGCATTTGGGTGCCCAATTAGTCTGCGCTTGCTCCTGCTAGATTCTTGACTCTGTCTTGGATAATCCTGGATATTTGAATATTTTTAGGCATATTTTGAAGATTTTAAATTTTAAATGTCATGTTTTCCAGAGCTTACTGATGAACAGAAAGAATTTCAAGCTACAGCTCGTAAATTTGCTAGAGAGGAGATCTTGCCTGTTGCTGCTGAGTATGACAGAAGTGGAGAGGTAAGTCTTCTGCACAGTAGGGAAACATGTTGCTTAATATTTCACTAGTAAACCTCTCAATAGAGAATCTGTACCTAAAATATTATTGTATTGCTTTTATTTCCAGTATCCTGTTCCCCTCATAAAAAGGGCATGGGAGCTTGGCTTAATGAATACCCATATACCAGAAAGCTGTGGTGAGTAACTACCTTTTAAGCTGTAAAACAGTAGACTGAGGAATGCTGTAATGGAAGCCAAAGAAATGATAGATTTTGGAATAAAGTGCTCTCTGAGATTGAAGAAGGAATATTGATAGTGAGGATGTCTGATAAAAGATAAATTCTCTTGTGTTGACACTTTTAGAAAGACCAATGGAAACAATCAGAGCTCATTCACGCTTATGTGTTATGTACTTCAGTTTCACTTTCTTATGGTCCACTTAAGGATGATTTGTTTGTCTGATGTGCTAACTAAATTCTAAATTACTCACTAGCTAATATTATTTGGGTGATGTGCAATCTGTTAGAAATGTAAATGTCTTTAAAATTTAAAATTTAAATGTCTTTAAAAGTACTGAAATGAAATAGTACCTGAAGAAATAGAGTATAAAATTAGGTGGAGAAAATAAAACACTTCAACATGTAAAACCAAATCAAACCCAGCAGCAGAATCAAACTGTAAAATCACTAATATGGTTCTTAAAGTACTTGGGAGAACAAAAGGGGTCCAAGTGGTACCTAGCATAATGTAGACATTAGGGAGCGTTTCTCGAAATGGGATGCCAGCATGGAAAAGGCCCTTTCTCTTGTAGCCAACTATCTCCTTTCCTTTGGTGGGAGCTCTTGATACTGGCAACATGGACTTGAAACTACTTTAGTGAAAGTGAAAGAAGAAAGTGCCAAAGCAGGACTGCAGTTTAACATGAAGAAGACCAAAATCATGACTACAGAAGAACTACACAACTTCAGTAGTGACAATTAATTGAAAGAAATTGAAATAGTTAGATACCTTTTATACCTTGGTTCAACCATCAATCCAAACGGAGAGCGCAGCAAGTGAAGAAGACTGAGACATGGAAGGGCATCAATAAAGGAGCTAGAAAAGATAATCGACTGTAAGGATGTGTTACTGGAGACCAAGATCAAGATAATCTGCATTATGCATTATTGTATTTCCAGTCATAGGTGTGAAATCTGGACAGTAAAGAAAGCTGACAGGGAAAAATGATTTGTTCGAAATGTGATGCTGGAAGAGAATTTTGCAGATACCCCGCACTACCAGAAAGATGAACAAGTGGGTCTTAGATCAAATCAAGCCTGAATTATCTCTGGAGGCAAAAGTGATGAAACAGAGGCAGTCCTACTTTGGGCACTTCCTTAGAAGGCAGGATTCTCTGGAAAAGACAATGATGCTGGGAAAAGTTGAAAGCAACAGGAAAAGAGGAAGAGCAAATATGAGATAGATTGACTCCCTAGAGCAGTGGTTCCCACCTTTGGGCCACAGATGTTCTTGGACTAAAACTCACAGAAGCCTTCATCACTAACTGTGCTGGCCAGGATTTCTGGGAATTGTAGTCCGAGTACATTTGAGACCCAAGGTTGGGAACTCTGCCCTAAAGGAAGCCACAGGCTTGAGTTAGCAAACTGCTGAACAGGGTTGTTGAGATCAGGACATTTTGGATATTGTTAATTCATGGGGTCGCCATAAGTCAGGGGCAACTTAATGACACATCACTACAACTAGATAGAGGGCATTCAAGGAAAAGTGACTGGTGGATATTGAACAGACTTCACTGAAAGTCATTATGTAGGTGCCGGGCTGCTGCTGTTTGTTGATGGGGCATGAAAGTTGCCTTGAAAATATTTGGGCCTTGTATTTGTTGTTGCTAATTTGTACATGGGCCTCATATGATGAAGATATGTGAATAAACAAGCTCTGATCTAGTTAAACTAGTAGAATTATTCAAAAAATATAGTATCCTGTTTCCCTGAAAAGAAGACCTAACCTGAAAATAAGCCCTAGTATGATTTTTCAAGATGCTTGTAATAAAAGCCCTACCCCAAAAATAAGCCCCAGTTAAGTGAAACCCCACCCTCCACCATTGTGCAGCAACCAGAAGAAGATGGCATGACTGTATTTGAATAAATGTCGATTGTTGTACATGAAAAAATTATAAAACATCCCTTGAAAATAAGCCCTAATGCATTTTGGAGCAAAATTAGTATAAGATCCTGGCTTATTTTTGGGGAAACACGGTAATTGGTGTGTGTTTGTGTGCTTTGGTTTAATGAAATTATGCAGAATAGTGATGTGGAGTTTCTGGGATATTTTGAACTGGAAAGTATTCTAGTACCCAAAATAGAACATGGTTTGACTTGGCATATTTATTGAACAAAATGCTTTAACATTCCGACAGTCTAGATATATTTGATTGGAGTGTAATAGTGCTGGGGAGATCTAGGTTATGATTCCCCTTTCATCATGCGACTCACTATGTAACCTTGAGCCAGCCACTTTTTCTTATTCTTACCCCCAGGGATTCTTGCCATTCTTTCTGCCTAGTAAATCTAAAACTCACTGGTGAATCATTATACATCAACTGGAAAGCCACTGTGTTCTAGTAGTCAAAGATATATAGCATCGTTGTGATGATAAAAATTTTCAGAGTCCAAGAAAAAAATGACACAGGCATTGCTCTGTTTATCAAAACATTCGTCACAATTTTATTTTTTTTTATTTGATTTGATCTGCACAACCTAAAAATGAATTCAGAATTTGACACAGGTTTGGATTGTTATGTCTGTTTGTGCTTTTATTCTACCTGTTTACAAATCAATAACATGTACTCTTACATGTACTTGCTAGGGATAATCACCTGTTAGTTACAGCAAAAACTAATCTGGATTCTGATTTAAAACTTGTTGAAGAATATAAAAATGGCTTTACTGGTTTAGACAACTTTTATGAAGTTTATGAAACAGTGGCTGGAATTCTATTGGTGTTTGCATAAGGATTATGTAACTTGATCTGACTAAATGATGGGATGCCAGGCTGCAGGTTGATCCTGCTCTAGATCATGTGAGAGTCACTCCACCACATCATCACTTAGCTACAGTTAGCTGTGAGAAGTTATATGAGCCGTACATGAACACCAATTGGGTTGTGGACAGTGTCTTTTAATAGAAATGTTTTCATGGAAAAATTAAGCACTGGAAATTTTTCCATCTCATATCACTAATACAGAGTGAAGTGAACCAGGGAATATATTGGTCTTGAGTCACTAACATACATAAGTATGCACTGTAATATTGTTTTTCTTATGATATTATTTGTTTAATAACGTTTTTTCATAGGCGGCCTTGCCCTTGCTACTTTTGATTCCTGCCTTATTACTGAAGAATTAGCTTATGCATGTACAGGGGTGCAAACTGCTATTGAGGCAAATTCCTTGGGTGTAAGTATTTTTCTCTCATCTTTGTCATATTTTGTCTAGACAATCACTTCCTGTCTATTTTAAAAATAAATTGGTTTTTTTTAAATAGCAAATGCCAGTTATCATAGCTGGGAATGAGCAGCAGCAGAAGAAGTATCTGGGAAGAATGACAGAGGCTCCCCTTATGTGTGTAAGTGTTTTTAATCAAAATTAGAATAATAAAATAAAACAAAGTTAAGGGGGAAAATCCACTGTATTTATGTGAGCAGTTAATAAGTATAAATATTAAATACCCTAGTACTCACTTAGTTAGACAGGGTAATAATTAAAATATGCTGGGTCATTGAAGAATTACCTATTTTTCCATGTATAAGACTATACTTTTGTCTAAAAATTTTAGACTAAAAATTGAGGGTTGTCTTATATACGGAAGTAAACTGAGGAGAGTACAAAAACAAGTAGAGGGGAAAGCAGGGATCATATTGTTCCCTTTGATCCCTATTCTCCCCTCCACTTGCTAATCCTTAGCAAAAACAGGGATCAAAGCACTGCAGGATCGCTTTGATCGCTGCTTTCCCCTCTGCTTGATAAGTCCCATGGGGCTTAACTAAAGGAGGGGGGAAAGAATCAAAGCAATCCCATGGCTGTAGAATGGGGAAAGGGATCAAAGTGATTGTGTAGTTGCAGGATTGCTTTGGTCCCTTTCCCCCTCCTTTTGCTAAGCCCCACGGGGCTTAGTACGAAGGGAGAAAGCAGGGATCAAAGCAATCCTGCAGCACTTTGATCCCTCTCCCCCTAGACTTGCTAAGCCCTACTTAGATTTCTTAATTTTGGGTTAGAAAAGTGGGGGGCATCTTATACATGGGGGCTTCTTCTACACGGAAAAATATGGTAAGCTACCAGTACAGTGTTCTGAATTCATCCATAACCAACGTAGTAATATGATCATAATCCAAAGGTATACAAGTAGCTTTCTTGTGCACTTTGGGACAGGGTTTACTGTAACATACCAACAAGTGCATACACTCCTACAAATGTAGATTTGAATAGTCTTCCTTCATTGAATGGAACAGTGAACCACTGAGGCCCAGGAATATAACAACAGGGACATCATTTAATTATTAGACATCTTATTTTGCTCTCGATAACTTTTTAAGATCTAAAAAGACGGTATACTCTGTATAATTCTAAGCTTTTATTCTAATTCTCACCATAATTTTGTTACAAAATTTGAACAAGTTTCATTAAAAGAAACCTTGGATGTTTCAATGAATAGTGAAGTCTCTGATCTGGCCCATATGGAGTTGCTAGACCTATTGGTCTTATTGTAAGTGCTAAGCCCTCACCACTAATATATAAAAAATGTTGTGTGGTGTTATGATCACATTTGTTAAGTTTTTCCCTATGTATGGTTTCTCTCTTTAGGCATATTGTGTAACTGAACCTGGAGCAGGTTCTGACGTAGCAGGCATTCAAACAAGAGCTGAAAAGAAAGGAGATGAATATATAATTAATGGACAAAAAATGTGGATCACCAATGGTGGCAAGGCAAACTGGTATAATAATTATTATTTAACTTTTTTTACTTTCCCTGTCCATCTAGGGCCATTTTGGACTGGGCTAAGATTAGAGATGATATGTTGCTTTCCCCACTAATCAATGTGGGGAAGAGCTGGTGGGCTAATATCTGCTCCTTAGATCAGAAGCCAAGAATTACCTTGGAAGGGAAGAAAAGAAGGCATTGTGACTGCGGACCCAGGACTGAGGGCAAATATGAGGAGGGTGGGGTAAACCCTTCCCTTTAGCACATAGTGCTGCCATGCGACTTGTGAATGTTTCACACATCCTTTTCTAAGCATGTAGTAGTTTTAGGAGACTCTGACCTCAGCCATGTGAGGCAATGTATTAGAGTTTATTCCCAGGTATGTTAAAGGCCTACATTTGTGGACTGCATACACAGACTTGGGCTGAGAGGTTGTGTTGCTTGATGAGTGTTTATGTGCCATCAGCCGTCAAGTTGGAACTGACTTATAGTGATCCTAATAGGGTTTTCAAGGCAAGTGAGATGTTTAAGGAGTGGTTTTACCACTTCCACTCCCCTAGTAAATTTCCATGGCTGAGTGGGGATTTAAGCTTTGTTCTCCAGAATCCTAGTCCATCACTCTACCCACTACACCTCACTGGGAATCAATGAGTGTTTAGTCTGTGGTTATAAAGCTACAATAAGCGTCTGCTAGGAGTGAAAACCAACGTTATGTTGCATTGGCTTTTGTTTCTTTTTTTTAAACTAGGTATTTTTTATTGGCACGTTCCAATAGTGATCCCAAGGCTCCCCCAAGTAAAGCTTTTACTGGATTTATTGTGGAAGCAGACAGCCCTGGAATACAAATTGGGAGAAAGGTACACTTGAGCTATTATAATTTTACCTCAGATAACAGGAACAGATTTTTCTTAAAAAACTGTTTTATAAAAGGACTTTGTTGTAGCTTCAGAAACTGGCTTGAAAGAATACTGACAGGCTTCATTGGGTTAGGTCCAGAGGACTGCTGAACAGAAGCTTCGGGTGTAAGAACAGTCCCTGCACCCCTCCAGTAGCTGCCCTTCTACCTCTAGAAAAACAGATCAGGAGGCTTGAGATAGTCCTGAGAAAAGCATGGTGGAGAGAGAGGGAATCAGTTAAGACTTTATGCCAGTGGTCCCCAACCTTGGGCCTCCAGCTGTGCTTGGACTACAACTCCCAGAAGCCTTCACCACCACCTCTGCTGGCCACGATATCTGGGAGTTAAAGTCCAAGAACCTCTGGAGGCCCAAGGTTGGGGACCACTGCTTTATGCCTTTCCTCGGTGAGGGCACCAGATGGATTCCAGAACTTTCCATTCATGAAATGGCCAACCAATTTCTAACCTGAGAAATGCTGCTTGCCTCCTTGGAGAACAATTCAAACAATTACCTGAAATTAATAAGGCATATTACTTTATAGAAAACCTTACAGTTAGATACTTCTTTGGTCACCTGTATTGCCTAACTGTTGCTCCAAGCAGAAATATAATACTTGGGTTAAGAGTGTGATACTGTATTGCAATGTCAGTTACAACTTGAATATTTCATTTCTGCTTGGTCAACAACTCTTACTGTTTCTGGGGAATTTTGTCAGTTTACAAAAACTAGGCACTCAAAGATGCACTGCTGTTTTTACTGTGTTTTAATACAGTATGTCAATAACATTTCAAGCCTTGCTATTAGAAGCCTTGCTATGTCTTTTATGTTTAGTACATTTTTACATGTATGTAGAATCTCATACCTTTGGCACCCACTTTAAATTCTTGCTATTCTAGTTAAAATAAGGCCATCCTCATTGGCTTTCTGTTAAATAAATATGGTGTTTATGGATAATTATATCTTATAAACTTAATTTGCAGGAGCTTAACATGGGTCAGCGTTGCTCAGATACAAGAGGAATTGTTTTTGAGGATGTCAGAGTACCTAAAGAGAATGTGCTACTGGGTGAGGGAGCTGGCTTTAAAATAGCCATGGGAGCATTTGATAAAACAAGGCCGCCAGTAAGTATCAAAAATAAAATTGGGGGTGGGGGTGGAGGAGGAATCTCATAATTATAGATTTCTAGTTTTATAATATGCATCATTAAAACTACAGGTTGCAGCTGGTGCTGTAGGCCTAGCTCAGAGGGCTCTGGATGAAGCTACAAAGTATGCTCTGGAAAGAAAAACCTTTGGAAGACCAATTGTAGAGGTATGTGAATTTTCAGGCACTTACTTGATAATAATATCCTGTTAGTGTAAATAAAAGAAAAAGCATGGTGGGGCCCAGAAAAGTCAGGAGGAGGGTAATGTTTTAGTAGAGTGAGAAAGAGTGTCTCTCCAGATGTTGTTGGAGTGTGACTTCCACCAGTCCTAGCCAGCATAGCCAACGGCAAGAATGCTGGGAGGTTCCACAACATCTGGGGCTTACATTTTGCAGTTCTAGTCACTTCTAAGGACTGAAACATATACTGAGAACCTGTAACCCTCCAGATAGTGTAGGAGTCCAGCTTCCATCAGCCCTATCAATCAGGGCTAAGAATTCAATAGGAGTTGAAGTCCAGCATCTGGAAGGCCCCAACTTAAAATAATCATTGTAATAGAAATACTGGGTGTTAATACTTACAGTTTCTACATACTGTTTAACTGTAAGCCATTTAAGGGCTTTCTTGTACATTTAGACCACATGCAGTGAGAACCAAGCATTTTGTTTTGTTTTGTCTTTTTTCCAAACTAAAAATTGACAACTCTTAACTCTTGAATTTCAAAATGACTGTAGCTGGGTAGAAAACAGATGCCAGGCAATCTCATGGAAGTCATGAACACTGCAAAAACTAGCAAATGTGTACATGTTTTGGTGTTTCTTTTCTTGTTAAAGAGAAAAAAATGTTTAATGTACGTATTAATAAAGTATATACTAACCTTTTGTGTCCTGGGTCATACAGGGAAGTTAATTTCTCAACGTGTATCTCTGTTTCTCAACTATTACAGCACCAAGCAATATCCTTCTTGTTGGCTGAAATGGCAATGAAAGTTGAACTTGCTCGCCTGTCTTACCAAAGGGCAGCATGGGAGATAGATATGGGCCGTAGAAACACCTATTATGCATCTATAGCAAAAGCATATGCGGGAGACATTGCAAATCAAGTAGCTACTGATGCTGTGCAGATCTTTGGAGGAAATGGATTCAACAGTGAATACCCTGTAGAAAAGCTAATGAGAGATGCCAAGATATACCAGGTATGTAGTACTTCACTTGTACATTTATGTTACTTGAGAAACTAGTTCTAATGAATAAATGTATAAGGGTTTTTGAGACCATACTAAATCACTAGTCAACCTAAGTGGCATGTTTTTTTCTCAAAGGAAAAGTTTTCACTCTTCTTACGGTGGCTTTTACCATATGCCTTTGTCGTTTTTTAGTAGTTGTATTAAAAATAGTTGAGAGCATCCTTTTCATTCAGTTGAGATTTTGCTTTTACTTTGTTAGGGTAACTGTTTGACTAAAAATAACCCTGGCATGGAACAATGAGGTAGCTGTTCTGCTATGAAGAAAAGATAGTGACTCAGTTCTATCATACTTAATTTGGAAGCATGTCCCATTGATGGTACCGTGAGACTGTCAATTTACAGTTGTGCAGAAAGATTCTGGGCATACTTATTCAAATGTAAACATTATTTAATTAAGTGGTGTATAAGTCCAAACAGAAAAGCATAAAATGGCTATTTCAAGACTTCAGTAAAAGTAGATATGAGTGGTGGTGATGGTGCTTGATATTACAGATAGTAAATGCATCACTGTGCATTAATCTACCTGTTTATTATATTATGTTACATATAGCTAAATTACGATTTCATTTAAAAGAAAAAAGAAATTATTAAAACAGGCAACAATTGCCAACAAAACATACTGGATGCAATCCTGTTGTTTGGCATAGTAAATCACACTAAAGTAGGCCCAGTTAACTTGGTAAGTCAACTCTGCAGGTTTCATTGATTCAAATGGGCCTCCTCTAATTTTGACTTACTTTAGCACAGTAAGTTGCATGAGTAGGCCCATTTTAATCAATGGAACTTAGAGCAGTTGGCTTACTAAATCCCCACTGATCAAGTCGGTCTACTCTAGTGTGACTTCCTATGCCAAACAACAGGACTTTAGCCAGAGTTTGAGATATACATTTGGTAGCCAAAAAGAGCACAGGTTGTTATACCTGTTTTAATCCTAACCTCAAAAACACTATCAAACATCTAAAAATTTGCCCTTCTGGTTTTGCACACATTATAGGGGTTTTAGTTTATGGAATAGCAACCCCTGTATATGTCCCACAGAGTTTGTTTGTTTCTTAACCAAGAGGTCTTTCAGACTAATTTCTGATGTGTCATGGGAGTCTGATATTCAAATGACAAAATCTCAGTTGGCATGTCCAGGTTCTCAGGGTTACATAAAGAAACTGTGCAGTCCAGCCCTGATGTTCATCGTTATGATACTCAGCAAAAGGTGTAGTTATGACCTTCCCAGAAGTTACAAACTGTGCATTGAATTGATAATAAGTTGATCCTTTAAAATGGTCATGTCTGTATGATTTTTAAGTTTTTCAACAAGACTTATTGGACATTCTTCTCTTTTCAGATTTATGAAGGAACAGCTCAGATTCAAAGACTTATTATAGGTCGTGAACATATTGGCAAGTTCAGTGTTTGAGAAAATACTGAAACCAAGAGAGGTTTTAAATTCCTGATATGTACTAACTTGATTCCACAAATATATGTATGTATCCGTCCACTCTTGTAAGTTGTGAAACAAATAATTATACTTCCATTTTTTCTTTGGTATATGAAAAATAATTATTTTAAAATTCTGGCCACTTAATGTTTTGAGTTCTTAGCAAGTCCCTAAACACAAAATTATTGCTAAAATGCAATACTGTGCAGCTTAGTAACATGTGATGCTACAGAGAAGTGTACTTTACAATTGCTCAATAGCAAGAGTGCCTGGCAATTGACAATCAAGTTATGTCACTGAGATGTACTGCATCTGACATTATCGGTGGCAGTTTGGGGTGCCATGTATTTAATTGACAAATAATAGTAAAGGTCACATAAGATGGCTTCTGTGGAGTAAGACAGTTCTGAGCTGACTGTCATACCACTGGCACGGACTTGTATCAGCATGCCTGTATTTTAGTATGGCAACTACATTTTGCATAGCAGGTAAACCTTGAAATGGTTACATCAGCTTTATTACTCATGGCTGAAATCCAAACTGGAGATTCTGTGAACAGATAGGCTTCTTCCATTTTCAAAAAAGCCACAAGGTGCCTTTTTAATTTTTTTGTTGTTCAATTGAACACAAAAAAACAAAGTAAACCCTTGTTCAATGGATCTTATATCTTACTTTGAAACTGGTGCCTGTTTGAATCCATGCTAGTACTTTTGAAACAGTGGCTCAGAAAAAGGCATGCACTCGGTTACCTCTATGTCAACTTACCTGAAATACCTGTAACCTTTAAATCAACTTACCTGTGACTATGAATATTAGCAGTTTCACAAGCAGTTTTATGTGTTACAATGTAAAAGAAGAGCTGTGATTCCTATTTTGAACTTTGGGTATATATAACTGATTATTGCAGTGCCTTTGCGTTTAGTTATACCAACGTTATTAAAGAAGTGTTTTGTAATTGCCAACATTAATTAAAACGGCCATACAATGCAATATTTTTGCTAATAGTATTTATAAACTTATCCTGATATTTACATGTGTAGTACTTAAATTAAAAACAAATGTCTGAAATCAGAACTCAAGAAAAAGTTTCAGATTTTCTTATAAGTTAGAATGTGACTTTCTTTATGTCGAGCAACAATTCATTTTTTTCAGATTGTCAGTTCATTTACCATGAGGTGCTATGTGGAACTTCCAGAGAGCAACAACTCGTTTTTTTCAGATTGTCAGTTCATTACCATGAGGTGCTACAGTATGTGGAACTCCCAGTGACCAGTCTGAGTGATAACATCTGCTTCCCTTCACACCTGAGACTTGTGACACTAATGGGTCTCATGGCACCAGGGAGCGAAAACAGCTACTTGGGCCAATTTGGACATTGTAACTTAGGGGTGTACTCACTTTTGTTGCCAGTGGTTTGGACATTAATGGCTGTGTGAGGGGGCAGCACATTACACTATTCTACAAGCTGTATTCTCATTGCTTTACATTGTAGCAAAATGTCGTTTCTTCAGTGTTGTCACATGAAAGGATATACTAAAATATTAATGAAACGTGAGGGGGTGTACTTCTGTGATATATTGTATATAAAAAAATTTGTGACAGTGTTACAGACCTAGCCCAGTCTGTAACATGAGGCATTTGCTGAACCTGGTAACGCAGCCACTAAGAGGGGGACCTGGAAACTCCACCCCACACTCAGCCCATCTAATAATGCCCTGTGAAAACTCAGACCAAATCAGTTTCACTGAATTTCTTCAAGCCACAGTGTGCTAGCTAACGCTCTCATGCTGGAAACTGCAAGTCCAGCCACGTTGCCCTGGAAGAAGGAACACCAGCCCTGCCAGGTAGCACAAAATCCCACATAATATAATTGGCACTAGATATTAGACAGATGATTTCTAGTCATGGATTTCTGAGTTTAGAACCATGCCCACCACCACTAACCAAAAGCATATCAGGTGGAGATTTCATATTTTATTAAAAGAAAAAAAAGAGCAAATCAGATTAGAAAAGAGCAAAAGCCATTTGGACTAAAAAATCCAATTCAGTTAACACACAATAGGTAGAAGGATCATTCATATCAGAAATCATATGTAAAAATGTTTGATACCTTTAATTGGACCACTAAAATTCCATTTTTTCAGGCTAAGCATCACCACTTCATGGATAGTGTACACAAATTGTAGACAAGAGTCCAAAAATTGATCATTTTTTCAGGCTAAGCATCACCACTTCATGGATAGTGTACACAAATTGTAGACAAGAGTCCAAAAATTGATGGAAGATGTCTGTGAGAGGCGATCTCACAAATCAAGAAAGTTATCTTAGCCTCATCTAACAGTGAAGAACATAGTAGAGTTTTGGAGCCCATGCAAAGATCTTACCAGTGTTCTGACATGAACTGCTTGAACAGGAATTTTTCAAGATAGATTCTTATGATAGAATGGGATTTTCAGCTGAACCTCTCTGGCCAATCAAATTAAAAGTTCTAATAGATTTTCCAGAAACCTCGGCTCTTTCCCAGGTGTAACTAGAGCAATTACCACTGCTTTGAAATGGAGTATCTGACTGTAACTGCCCAGGTAGTCCACTATCTCTCTTTGCTCCCATGTCACTCAAAAATCATTTTTCTTCCATAACCAGTGCATGAAATAAACTGGCTTGGTACTTTAGCCCTGGTGCCAGAGATGGCTACTAATGCATTAGTGTTTGAACTGTCACAAGAAATCTGCTCTTCATCATCTAGAATTTTCCCTTCTAAGCAACTGTTATAGGTACAGGAACCGTGCCCCCACTTTACATCTGGTCATCACAGCACATATCCAGCATTAGTGCTGAACTGTCGAAAGAAATCTGCTCTTCCTCATCTAGAATTTTCTAAGCAAGTATTATAAGTACAGGAACCGTGTCCCCCTTTACATCTGGTCATCACAGCACATATCCACTACTAGAAAGCACTTAAAAGTGCATTTCACTGCTGTTCTGCTTTCCTTTGTTTTCCCCATCTTTCGTGATTCAAGGGATGTGCAAGTTTTTGCTATATGTATTTGCCTCTTTCAGTTGCCTCTGAAGTCACCTTCATTCTGCACCAGAGTACATAAAAATCAATTACATGAACAAGGAGAATAAAGCACTTAAAAGTGCATTTCACTGCTTTTCTTCTGCTTTCCTTTGTTTTCCCCATCTTCTGTGATTCAAGTGATGTGCAAGTTTTTGCTATTTGTATTTGCCTCTTTCAGTTGCTTCTGAAGTCACCTTCATTCTGCACCAGAATCCATAAAAATCAATTACATGAACAAGGAGAAAGGATTTTCTTCAAAAGCAGTGAATGTAGAGTTCTTTGCACAGTCTGCCATCATATTTACAGAAGGAATTGATAAAAGGAAGCTCCATGTGTATTTAAAGACATTTATCTCTGGATGTAGTCCAGATTTTAATTTTCACTTTTTGAAATTTACTTGGGAATTGTCCTAGAACTGAGCTCTCAGGAAAGGAGGTGGGTCAGAATGCTTGGCTGCCTTTTGTTTAGAGAAATTGGTGATAAATCCAAAACCATTCGCTGCAGAGAGGACTGAAGCCACACACATGCCAAGCCTCTTGCAGACTGCACCTGTTTCCATCTAAGAAGCTGGCCCCAAACAACGGCCTTGAGACTTTGGAGTTTTAATAAAAACATAATTTTGGAGCTACCTATGAGAATTTGGCGCACAGCCTGAGGAAGATGAATTATCATCAAAAGCTCATTCTTTTTGGTGTCTTTTTTTAGTGCTTCAATACAATAAAGGTATCACCTGTTCCTGCATTTGTGCTGTTTTAGGGACAACACAGCCTTTTCCTAATTTTTACTCCAAATATCAGTTCCCAAATGAGGAGGGCCTGGAGAAATTCCAAGGGGGAATAAGACTGATTACCAGAATGAGAAAACATTTTAATCAGTTCAAACAAATTTTTATTTCCAAACATCATAACACATTTAAGTTAATTTAAAATTATTTTACTGGGTCTGTGTTTAATTTTAGATTGCAAATTGAGGGATTTTCTTTGTTTAAAAGGAATGGTATAATGAAGGAGGAAGCATGGGAATTTGAGGTGTCTGTGAATTTCATTGTATGGGTATACTGTGTATATACAGTACTTACAATGACAATAAATAAATAAAAATAAAATAAATGAGCGCTTCTCAAAATAAGAAAAAAGAGCATGTTTTATGAAGTTTGCAAAGAATTATTTTCAAAGAACAAGTTCCAGTCTGAGAACTCTTGGAACTGGCAAAGATGGCCAACGAATATTCAGCTGACACTTGGTCACTGGCACCTGGGCTGAATCTCAAACTCTCTCAATCTAGGGGTGTAGAAAATGATTCAGAACTACCGGGGCTTCTCAAAATAAGAAAAAAGAGCATGTTTTATGAAGTTTGCAAAGAATTATTTTCAAAGAACAAGTTCCAGTCTGAGAACTCTTGGAACTGGCAAAGATGGCCAACGAATATTCAGCTGACACTTGGTCACTGGCACCTGGGCTGAATCTCAAACTCTCTCAATCTAGGGGTGTAGAAAATGATTCAGAACTACCGTACTTTCACCCTAGGCTGAAGGCGTTGGCCTGGTTCGCATAAATCAAGCGTTCCCTCCCTCCTCTCCTTTTATGTTGATCTGTCGCCTGCAGAATAGTTCTGGTGGTAGACTGACTCTAGCTTCAGAGATTTGAATGCAGCTGACAGAATAGTCTCTGACGGCTGGAGTTTTGCTAACAAGAGTTTTGTCCCGAATTCTACTCCCCCCCCCCCCCGCTGCAACGCTATGTGCTATCTTTGAGAAGATCAAATTAAGAGAATAGCTCTTTTAAGTTTTCCCATCTTGGATCAAAATCCACATTGCGGGATGAGGTGGATCGAAAAGCATGCTTTTCCAGCATGATTCCATCCAGAAAAAGCATGCAAAAGACGAATCACTCTTGAAAGTGATTTGCTATTATCAAATCGCGGGCACAGGAGGTGAAAAACACGGCTCATCAGCGGTTACTCTTAAGGGCCGGGAAGAAAAGGGACCAAGCGCCTTTTTATTTCCAAAGTCACCGACGACTTGCAGGCAGCCCGCGCGCCAGCTATGAAGGGGCCTTCTCGCTGAGCGACGAAAATAGCAGCACCTTCGCCTTCCGCCCAGCGACCTGGAGCGCGCATGCGCACGTCGGGCAGCCGCCGATGTGTGCCAACATGGTGAGTAGCAAGTCGCTTCTCGCTGCGCTGGAGGGGCTCTAGCGGGTGTCCCTTTCCCCCCCCTCCCCGCTTCCTGTTCTGTCTTCCTCCTCCCACTTCGTTGCGGCGAGGGGAACGGGCCGTTGGTGTCTCCGTACCCCTGGCGCGCGGAGTCGGGTTTCTCTGAGGGCGGCCTGAGGCTCTCTGCTTAAACGGCATTGGGGGGGGGTTGGAGGATGGGAGGGGGGCGCTCAGGTGATTGGAGTCGGTTAGCGAAACGCTGAGGCGGATTGTGATGACGTAATAGGCCTGAGCCGGAGGCTCTGGGATGATTGGTTCGTCGAGATGCCAGTCATGATGGGGAGGGGGCAAAGAAAGGTATAAATAAGTGCTGGTGTTGGAAAGAGAGGCGAAAGCCCGCTCTTGTTTCTCTGGGCGTGTAGCATGGCTGGTTGTTCCCTGAGGAGCTGCGTGCCTGGACAATGGTTTTTTTCCCGAGGCGGAGGCTTTCTCTCCTTTACTCCCACCCCGAGGCATACACGCTTGAGCGTGTGAAGCGATTTTATATTTTTGTTTCAAACTGTCGGTTTCCTTGCGGGCTGGGGGGGCACCAACTCACCCCCCGCGGAGGAAATATTCAATATGGCTTCCTGTTCAAGTCTGTCGTCGGTTTAGTTTGCGGGCGAAGGGGCGCCGGCTTCGGTTCCTCCATCTAAAAGATGGGGGGGGGGAGAGAGAGAGAGGGAGGTCGTCTCCGAAGGGATCGCTGCAAACGTCGGTCGACCAGAGAACGTTAGACGTCGTAAAGGACTGTAGGTAGGGCGGCGAGAGAGAGTGTGTGAATGGCTGCCCCACGTGGGCTTTTCCTTCACGTGGAGTTGTGCGGAATCTGAATTTAGGATCATTGCGAAAAAAATTGTTTTAGCGAGACAAAATTGTTTTGATGCGCTTAAATATGTAGTTTATGGTATCAATCCACGATTCTTTCTAGTTTCCCCATTCGTTTTGTGAGACGATAAGAGGTTTGTTTCTCTTATAGTTTGGAGGCCTTATAGGGTGGCTAGGAAACAACCTTGATTTCTCCGTGAAGGGCAGTCAGTGGATGGTATTGAAGTGCAAAAGAAAGAAGGAAAGCATATGTTTGAAATTACTTTATGCACACCTGTATTTTACCTTTTTTCCTCAGTGTATTATTCTTTCTGCAAACTGTACTTCATGTCTGAAGAAATTGGTTTTGATCAAGAAAAAGTCACACTGAAATTTGTTAGTCATTGCTTTCAACAGTTACTAGCCTCTAAATATCTCAGCCAAGTGTTACATATTTTCACTTCGTTTTCACTAATTACTCTGTGATTAGCTGTGAAACCATGTGGACTCAGGTTTTGCTCTGATGAGTGGAGATCAGTGTGCTGGATTGATTATCAGGAAAGTGAAACATTGGGAGGATTGCATGCTTCTGAATAATTTAAGTACTATAATTCTCTTGTGTGATATTTTCTCAGCTTTCATTTGCTACCATGTTTGAGCAGTTCCAGAGAAATGCACTAAGTACTACTCCTGAGACCAGATTTTCCTTTTGAAGTCCTCCAAGAGAGGAAGTAGCCAGTGTTCCTGCTATTTCAGGAGAGGCATTGTTGATCTGGGAGCCTCAGTAATGCCCATGGCGGCTCCATCTAATCTGTGAATCACACTTCTACCAGTCTTGTCCTGTAAAGTACTATGGTTGATATGTATACAAGATTGGGCTTCATGCATCCTTGGAGTAGCCAAAAGTCAATTAAATTAGTAGAGCAAATGTTCCTTGATGCTATTATTGAATTTAGTTTTCTTTAAATTTGTGTTTAAGAAAGTTGTTAAATAATAAGCAGATGAAACTCATATTCTCTGTAGCACATTCTTTCTCTGAGCGTTGTGTTCCTTTTTCCCTTCTACTAACTAAATGTGGGCTGAGTATCACTGATAAATTACTGTTTTGTAAATTTGAGCACACTTTATTTGCTGGCATCTCTCTCTCTCTCTCAGGTTGTATCTCTTAAATTTGTGTTATTTATTTATTGTAACATGAAATTCAGAGGGAAACAATTTCTGGAAATGATTTAGACTAAATATTATATTTTTCAGGGAACACCACAGAAAGATGTCATAATAAAAAATGATGCACCGGCTACATTGTTCTTAGACAAACATGCAGATTATATAGCAGCATATGGAACAAAGAAAGATGATTATGTGAGTATTGTGTTTTAATACTGCAGCATGTTTTTATTCCTTCCTCTTTTTTATATGTTCACTGAAATCTTGTTACTTAGCATAGTAGATCCATTGAATCAGTGGAAGTTACAGAGGAGCTAACTTGTCCAGTCTTTGCTGATTCTTATTGATCTCTTGCACTAAGTCATAAGATTTGATTCATTGAGTGAAAGAAAAATTATGAGTCAGATACATTGTAGATGCTTTCTTTAGGTCAATGATGTCACTTGGCATGTATTAGCTGACTTCAGAGCTGAAGATTTACCTCTTTTGCACTGAGACCAAAGAAGCATCTTAAATGGGATTCCACTTACACTGATTGATTGGATTTGTATCCCGCCCATCTAGACCAAAGGTCTACTCTGGGCATTTTACAGATTTAAAAACAATAAAACCCAAAAAAACCTATCAATCCAAGATTGCATAAGTATAAGAAATTAAGATATGGCAGGAGGGAAAGCCTGCCCAAATAGCCAGGTTGTAAGTTTAGTCCTGAAAACAGAGAGGGAGCCAGGCGGATCGCCACTGGCAAGTTGTTCGTAAGGCGAGGGGCCACTGCTGAGAAGGCCCTGTTCCTCATTCTTTCCTTCCAGACCTTAGAGGGAGCCACGCGGATCTCCACTGGCAAGTTGTTCGTAAGGTGAGGGGCCACTACTGAGAAGGCCCTGTTCCTCATTCCTTCCAGACCTCTCTTGACATTAAGTCCCTCAGCTGCCTAGCCTGGCTGGAACGAGTGACTCTGTCAGAACTGGTTCTTGACATTAAGTCCCTCAGCCACCTAGCCTGGCTGAAATGAGTGACTCTGTCAGAACTGGGTGGGAGAAGGTGCTCTGCCAGATATCGAGATCCTAAACTGTTTAGGGCTTTATATGTAATTGTAAGGATGCGGAAATGATCAGCCAATCCAAGGCGGCCAGCGTGGGGGAAATATGTTGGTACCTTTTCACTCCTGTAAGAAGTCTGGCTGCCGCATTCTGTACCATCTAAAGTTTCCATGTCAGTCCCAAAGGCAGCCCCACATAGAGTGCATTACAATAGTCTAATCTTGAGACTACGAGTGCATGGACCAAAGCGGGGAGTGCCCCCACTTCGGGATGCAGCTGGGCAATCCGCCGAAGGTGGAAATGTGCAGAACGGATCGCTGATGACACCTGGGTCTCCATGGTGAGCGCTGGGTCCAGATGTACATCCAAACTGCGAACCTCACCCTTGGTGGTAAGAGTTGCCCCCCCCCAAAGGAGAGGGAGTTCCCCAGACCACTGATGTTTGGGACACCCACCCAAAGGACCTCCGTCTTGCCCGGATTCAGCCTCAGTCCATTCACTTGCATCTATTGCTGAACAGCCCCCAGGCAGCGCTGAAAGGACAAAACAACATCCACTGTTGTTGGGGGAAAAAGAGATGTAGAGCTGAGTATCATCAGCGTACAGATGACATGAAGCCCCACGTCCCCTGATAACCCCTCCCAGTGGCCTCATATAGATGTTAAATAGCGTTGGGGAGATAATCGAGCCCTGCAGAACCCCACAATTGAGGCTCCACGGAGTTCAGAAACTCTCTCCGATCTGCACTCTCTGGGGACGGTCCTCCAAGAAGGAACAGCCAGGCAAGAGCCAGGCCACCAATTCCCAACTCAGAGAGCCTCCCCAGGAGATTACGGTGGTTGACTGGTATCAAAGGCTGTATCAAATACATGAATTTGTCTTCCAAAAGCTCCTGACCTTCAAGCTTTGTCTATGAGACATCTTGGTGAGAGAGTAAATCTGTATGAACACCGTGTTCAGAAAAAGGACTCCATAGTTCTTTTGGAAAATGGTACAGTCCCACCAAAATCTACCCGTATCACCCAATCAAGTTGGGAGGTGAGGCTGAGGAGCCTGATGCTGAGGGAGGCCCAGAAGGAAAAAACAAGAAACCAGGCCTTCTCGGCGGTGGCTCCTCACCTCTGGAGTTTCTTTTTTTTCTGATATTTTTTCTTTTCATCTTGAATAATCCATATATTGATGTATAAATATGTTTTTATATTTTATATGTTACGTTATATGTGTTGGAAGCCACCTAGAGTGGTCGTTCGACTAGATAGGTGGAGTATAAATACAATAAATAAATATAAAAACCGTCCTCATCTGCTACTTAGTACACACTGTTGTGTATACACAGAGCGTATAGAGTATGGGAGATTTTCTGGTCATGGTCCTTTGCACACGTAGAAAAATTCTTTCAGTTTATACGGTGAAAGATGATAAGGTAAATGAAAAATGCCCCTGTTTGACAGTGGGAGCTGTATGGCATAGTAACTTTCTGAATCTGTATGTGCAGTCTTTTACTGTTTTATAAATAGATATTTAGATTTTCGTCTCAACCATGAATATATTTGTTTTTTCTAAAAACCCTTCTTACTGTAGAGGGATCCAAGGTGGCTTACAAATGATTTTTAAAAAGTATTAAAACAATTATGAAAATAAAAAAATTCTTAAAAATAAGAAAAACATTAATTGCTAGTGTCCTGTTAATTAAAAGATAAAATGACAGCTGTCTCCTTGAAATCTTTTCCTTGACAGAAGTTTGCATATTAACAGCCTGCTTGAAAAGGAAGGCATTTGCCAGCTGGTGAAGTTAGCCAATTCAAATAATAATTTAATCTTTTAAAATTAATGTTAGTATTGCTGGTTATATGTGCATTATAATCTCCTTAATTTTCTTTATAATCTGTTCCCTTTTATTCTTTTCTGTTGACACTTGTACATTATTTTTCTCAGATGTGTATGTTTGTATGTGTCAGCATGTATTCATACACATTTTGACAGAATAGCATAATTTAGATTATACATTTTACTGCTACAGCGCATTAATACTTATAGGTCAGTGATGGCGAACCTATGGCATGCGTGCCACAGCTGGCACGTAGAGCCATAAGTCTCTGAATCGCTACCTCCGACTGTCAAACCTGAGGTGGCAGCTGCAGTGCTAGCACCCCGATAGGCAGCAGGCCAGGATCCAGAGCAGCTACACATAGAGCCATAAGTCTCTGAATTGCTACCTCCGACTGTCAAACCTGCTAGCACCCCGACAGGCAGCAGGCCAGGATCCAGAGCAGCTGGTGGCGGCAGGCTGGCCAAGCTATAGGTATTGGCGGCGTTGGGCATGACTGGAGGCAGCTCCGTGCCCAGGATTCCTGCTTCTGCTCCCGACTGCTGGTTTTGTTGGCAGTTTTGGGAAGTCGGGCTCAAAAAGGTTCACCATCACTGTTATAAGTGCTATTAAAACCCCATTTTAAATATTTTGCCTTTAATTTTTTTTCATTTCTTTGTAAGATGTGATTCTCCTGTTCAGGATCCTTATTCACATTTCCCCTGACTTTTTAATTAAATAAATAAATAAACCGTGAACAGAAATCCTTTGGTACTAGATTGAAACTAATATCAGTATAACAGTAAAAGGGAGTCTAGGGTTTTAAAGTTGCTCAAGAACCCCGTTGCTAATAACAATAAATGAAATCATTTTGACCTTGTTTCTCCTGTTAAACACCTAAATAGGAAATTATGTTCAGTTGTATGCTTTATTTTGCTAGCTTAAGAACTAAAATATGTATTTTTCTCCCCAGGAGTACTGTATGTCAGAATATTTAAGAATGAGTGGTGTGTATTGGGGACTGACAGTAATGGACCTTATGGGGCAGCTGCATCGGATGAGTAAAGAAGAAATCCTGGCATTTATCAAATCATGTCAGCATGAATGTGGTGGAATAAGCGCCAGCATTGGTCATGATCCTCATCTTTTATATACACTTAGTGCTGTCCAGGTAATCATGTAAAAGATAAATGTTTAGTGAAATAATTTGTCATACAATACTGGTCACATTGTAGGAACTGAAGTATCATCATTAAAACATCCCATCTTGTTTTATGTTTGCATTGCCCTAGTTTGTGTATATCAGGCTGTTAATGGAAGGTAAGAAATACCAAATCTGAAAATCAGATGCACAATTATAGGATGGGTGAAAGCTGACTTGAAAGTAATACATGTGAAAAAAGATCTGGGATACTGGCTTATTATAAGCTGAACATGAGCCAGTAGTGATGCAGCAACAAAAATATGAAGGTTATACTAGGGTGTGGTTGGCTGAATTGCTTATGAGTCAGGTGCCTGGCTGCAGGCCCAGAGATAGGAATTCACACTGTGTCTCCCAGGAGAAGAGCCAGCTAGTGCATCCTTAGGCAAGCTGTGTGGTTCCAGAAGCAGGGAATGATAAGCCACTTCTAAGTATTCTATATATAGAAAACTCTGGGAAGTGTTACTTTAAATCAGAATCTGTTTGACGGCATACTGTTACGATTCTACTAGGGTATATGATCAGAAGTATAATGGCCTGATGAAAGGAAGCAATAGCCCCATTCTTTACAGTGGGGTCTTGACTTAAGAACGGCTTGAGTTAAGAACATTTTGACTTAAGAACCGCTCTCATAGGAAAATATTGACTTGACTTAAGTACTTAGATTTGAGTTAAGAACTGAAAAAAAACCACGTGGGAGGCAGGGAAGGTGCAAAAAGTGAACTTTCAGTTAACTGTTGGCCAGTGAAAAGGGTGCCTGTCTGCTTCCTCACTCCTCCCAGCATTTAGAGAGTGGATTGGGAGACAGTCTTCAGACTGCCTGGTACTGTACTGCCTGGACTGTCTTTTCCCTGCCTTCCCTGAACCTTTCTTGACCTAAGAAAAAAAAGAAACAAAATATCCCCCTCTAGTGGTTGAAGGCGGAATAGCAGCTTCCCATTAGTTTCTATGGACGGAAAAGAGCAGATACTGATTAAATGGTTTTCAATGCATTCCTATGGGAAATGATTGACGGCATACTGTTATGATTCTACTAGGGTATATTAACAGAAGTATAATGGCCGGATGAAAGGAAGCAATAGTCCCATTCTTTATTTTGCTTTGGTAAGATCTAAGCTAAAATAGTGTGTCAAGTTCGGGGCAACACAATTTAAGAAGGATATCAAGAAGCTGGAACTTGTTCAGAGAAAAACAACTGGAATGGAAAAAATGTTTGGAAACCAAGGCCTTCAAGGAAAGGTTGAGAGAACTTGCTATGTTTAGCCTGTATAGAAGGCTGAAGAATGAGATATTGCCATCTTTAAGTATTTGACAGGCTCTCATGTGGAAGATGGAGCATGCTTGTTTTTCGATCTTAGGTGCATAGGACTAGAAGTAGTGGTTTCAAGTTACAAGAAGATTTTTGACTAAACATTCATAAGAAGTTCTTGACCCTGAGTGGTTCAGATCAACTGCCTTTGGGGGAGAGGTGGACTCTCCACTGGAGACTTTGAAACAGAGGCTGGCTGGCCATTTATCAGGGATGCATTAGCTATGGATTCCTACACTGACGGGGCTAGATTTGATGACCCTTGGGTCCTTTACAGCTTGTCAGTTCTGTGACAGAAACTTTAGATCCAATAAACAACAGTCTTGAGGCACTTTAGAAGACTACCAGGTATCTGGTATATGTTTTAGTGAAGTTTTGAGCTAGGAAGACTGCTATGGGAACTGGACATGCAAGTTGGACACACTTTGTGCAGTAAAAACAAAAAACGAATGCTAGTGACACAGCACAGGAGGCTCTTGGGTCAATGATGAGATCAGACATTTTTGTATGAATTTAAAATTGATATATTATCATTTAGCTCTAGAATTACTCTGAGACCCAAAAACATTTCTGTAAATATCTTGAGTTTTTCTGTATTCTGTTAGAAAATAGTGTGATCTTGAATTCCAATAGCATAACGTAAACCACAGGGGCAAGTGTAATTACAGTGGGGTCTCTACTTAAGAACTTAATCCGTATTGGAAGGTGGTTCTCAAGTTGAAAAGTTCTTATGTTGAATCTGCATTTCCCATAGGAATGCATTGAAAACCATTTAATCCGTATCTGCTCTTTTCCGTCCATAGAAACTACAGTGGAACCTCTACTTAAGAACTTAATCCGTTTTGGAATGGTGTTCTTAAGTTGAAACGTTCTTAAGTTGAAGCAAAATTTCCCATAGGAATGGACTGAAAACCAATTAATCCGTTCTGGCTGTTTTTTTGTTATGTAGAGGTGCGTTCGTACATTGAAGCATTAGTTCCCATAGGAACTAATGCAAAGCTGGTTAATACGTACTCTACCACTAGGGGGAGAATTTTTTTTAACCTAAGATGACCTAAGGTTAAAAAAAGAGCAGGAAAGGTTTTTTTTCCTGTTCTTATCTTGGATCTCTGTTCTCAAGTAGAAGCAAAATTTAGCAAATGGAGCTGTTCTTAAGTTGGATTGTTCTTAAGTAGAGACGTTCTTAAGTGCACAGGGGCAAGTGTAATTATTGGTTTGTCATCGGCCATTATGCAGGCTGGTTAGGAATAGTGGAAACTAGTCCAGTACATCTGGAGCATGCCATGCTGATGAAGAGAGGTGTGCCAAATGTTGTTCAGTGTAAGCATCTGTTTGCTGCCATTTCTGTTTAAAAGCGGATCATATTTCACCTGCATTTCCTTTTCTCCCTCACTACTGGCTGGTATTCTTGGGAGCTGAGTATCCACAGCCTCTGTAGGGTGACACATAGACCACCCCACATTAACTGTGTAATTGAAATTAATATTTTAAGCCTTTGCTCTGATTATCAGATATGCATATGCAGTGGTACCTTGCTAGACGACGACCCCACTAAACGATGAATCCGCATAACAATGACTTTGTGATCGCAATAGCGCTTCGCAAAACAGTCATTCCAATGGGCAATTTTCGCTTGACGATTTGGTCTGTGCTTCGTGAACCGTTTGTTCGCAAGATGGCGATTTTTACAGCTCATTGGTGGCTCTGCAAAATGGCTTCCCTTTTTTTCCCGGATCCATGCTTCGCAGGACAGCCATTTTTAGAGCTGATTGGTGCTTTGCAAAATGGCTGCCCTATGGGCGATCTTCGCAAAAAGACGAGGTTTTTTTCCCCATTGGACTGCATTAAACAGGTTTAAATGCATTCCAGTGGGGAAATGGTTTTCGCATGACAATTTCGCTAAACAGCGATTTCTATGGAATGGATTATCGTCATGCGGGGCACCACTGTTACTTGCATTTTACCAACCTCTCTATTTTTAAGTTTCTGAAATTAAAGCAGAGGATCTGGAGGGATTGGTAGTTTAATGCAGTGAATTGTTGAAGTTCATGGAAAAAATACTAGTATGAGAGAGACACTTTACAAGTGTCATGGTTTGGTGCCTTTATAGAATTGGAAGATGCTCAGTATATTACAGATGGAAGTGTATCTGTGCATGTGCTTAGTTTTCACATACAGTACTTTGAAAAGAGTTAGATCCAGATGTAGTCATATTGAAATTATTTATTTAAAATATTTCTATCCCACTTTTCTCCTCAAAAAGGACCCGTCAGCTTACATAATTAAAAAGACAGTATTTAAAAGTTGAAAGATTAAGTATATAAATATTTAAAAAGTTAAGAAAGAATTAAATAAGTATTAAATAAAAACAGTAGGTAAAATCAATACTAAAACACATTTAAAACAGTTTTAACAGCACAAGAGTCCATTTAAAAAACCATTTCATACCACCAGTCAATAAGGAAAAAGCCTTCCTGAAGAAAAAGCTTTGTCAGTAGAATGTGAACTTTGAATAAGTAATCTAAACCCGATTGACTTATGGAACTAAATCTAATTTTGTATTTTCCACATATTTTTAACTGTTTTGGAATCCTGTCAAATTCTGTGGAGTATTTTAATTCTAGAATTCTGATTCTGTTTTACAGATTCTAACTCTCTATGACAGTCTCCAGGTGGTTGATGTAAATAAAATTGTTGATTATGTAAAGAACTTACAAAAAGAGGATGGGTCATTTGCTGGAGACAGATGGGGTAATTCTTTTACAAGTATATTTACTGATGCAAAAATACAATTAAATGCTGTATGTTCTTGTCTATTTTTATTTCTCCCACCCGTTGGTGTTACTCTTCACATAGTACTCTGATGGTATTGTGTAAGAGTTTTATAGTCTACCCATGTATGTTTTCATCTGTATCAGTTGCTTCTCAGATCTATGATGAGTTTTAGTATGGATCTGACAACAAAGTTGATGTCTTTCACTACTTCAGCTCTAGAATTACTCTGAGATCTGAGAATATTGCTTATTATTAGTGGTTTAAATTCAGATGATGTTTTTCTTCCCTGTTTGAAATATGAACAGAGCTAATATGTTAAGAAATTTTCATGATAAGAAATCTTGGTTGTCACAGTTCTCCAACATAAATGCAATTTAATAAAGCAGATATGCATCAAGAAAACATGTTTCATGCTTGCTGGACAGCATAAAAATAAATATGAATGTTGTGTACTGAACATGAAGTTGTGGAATAGCTGCTTAATTTTATTGCAAAAGAGTCAGTGCTTATTAAAATTACATTAGTTCTTGGTTTTTTACATAAATAATAAATATACATTTATTATTTATGTTAATAAATATTAACCATCAAAACAAACAACTGCACTCAGGTTTTCCACACCAAGAACTTTAAATATATGCTGAAGTTATCATACACTTAGGGGAATGCAAGAGCTATGCTTGCAAGAATAATGGAAATGTCATAAAGGCAGATTACTTCAGGTTTAAGGAATTGCTGTAGTCATCTGTTGAATACTAGGTTGCACAATTCAGCATGCAACATATAATGTCTATGGGGATTTCTTAATTTTAGACAATTTATCTTCAAATGCTACAGCATTTGTGCTGTGCTGGTATTAAATCCCAACAAGATTTTTGTCAATATTTATTGGTATCCTTTTAATTGTTTATGAAGTATTTTGTATTTCTCAGAATTATTTCTGACGTATAATAGTGTACTTGTTAAAATAAATGTAACAATAAATTAATGAAAGTGGGGATATTTTTGTAAAATTGTACAGTTGTCTATGGAACTCTGACCAAGTTGAATGTTGAATTGATACCATGAGTACATATTGTTTTTCTTCCTTTAGGAGAGATAGATACCAGGTTTTCTTTTTGTGCAGTAGCAACACTAGCCCTTCTGGTAAGTCCTTTATTTTATGGCAGTCACATTTCAAAACAGGTGCTTAAATTATTGTGCACAAGGAGTAATTCGAAACAGGATATATTTAATTTGTACAGAGATAGGATATTTGCCAGAATATCACTTGCAAACGGTCAGTTTCAGATGTTTCCAGAGTTGCAAACAAATGCTATAGTGCCCAGTTGTAGGCCTATACAGTATAGCTCGTATGTGGATGGATGAGAGATAGAGCGGTCTTTTATAGAAAGACAGAGAAAAGAGAAAACTTTTAATAAGTGAAGCTTTTTGTCAGTGTGAATTCTCCCACTTCAAAAATCCTCGTTTCTTATGCATACAACTCCTCAAGAGTGTGCTGCATTATGTTCCTACTCTTCATATCAAGAGTGGATTTTGGATAATGCTGTGTCAGATTCTGTGTTCTGAAGTCTTTGTGAGGCATAGGAGATACTGGTTTTCCACAAAAAGATGAACATGGTAAACTGCAAGGTCATGGAAATGGGTTGTGTGCTATTTGGGATATATGCCACCTTGCATTGTGTGATGAGAATCAGCTTTGTTGCTTCCACTTTGGATGAGGTGTCATAAAGGGTTATGTGATTAGAGTTTGCCAAGCTCTGTGGAGAAGAATTTATAACTACGCTTTTGAACAAACCCAAAGGATTGGCTGAGCATTTGCTATGAAGTTGGAGTTAGATTACAGAAAGCTAATTGCAAGGAATTGCTGCTTTTCAGGGGAAACTGGATGAAATTGATGTTGACAAAGCAATAGAGTTTGTGTTGTCCTGTATGAACTTTGATGGAGGATTTGGTTGTAGACCAGGATCTGAATCTCATGCAGGACAGGTAAGTAGTGATACTTTGCCTAATAAAATTCAAGTTTTTTAAGTGTTTGCTGCCTTTTTCATGTTAGGTTTCAGAGTTTTTCAGAAGTGGAGGCATTTTTCATCTCCATATATGTAAGATATGGCTCAAAATCCTAGGCACTACATAATGTTTGACTGAGTAAGTACTTCATTGGTGATAGGCTAGCTGTGCAACAAAACTTTTGTTTCCTTCCCCTTGTAAACTATGCTACCTAAAACTTGCCCAAGGGTTTCCAAGTCCTTTAGAGCCAAATTTTGGGAGTACTTAGGATGCTGTAGTAGGGACAGTGGATTAATTTCTGCTGATAGTTCAATTCTACCAAGAGAGGTGAAGTAGTGAATCCTCCCTGTAATAAGCAAGGAGGTGTTTTCCCAATCATGCTTTGAAATGAGGATTTATAATGGTGTACTTTCAAATTAGAATGCAAATACCGATGTGCAGATTTGTCTTGTTTTTCAGTATGCCTTTTATTAAAAAGTTAAACGTGGAAGCTAGAAACTATCATTTGAAAGACTTGAACTCAGAACATTTTGATGTTAAAATAAAGCTGGTCAATAGGTTGAAGTGTAAATATTTCTTTTTACTGTAATTAAGCACTGAATGGAATATAATGAAGTGAAAGATTATATAAGGAGATTGGCTGGTACTATAATATACAGTGGAACCTCTACTTACGAACTTAATCCGTCCCAAAAAATGTTCGTTAATTGAAACATTCGTAAGTAGAAGCAAAATTTCCCATAGGAATGCATTGAAAATCATTTAATCCATTCTGGCTGTTTTTCATTCTTATCTAGAGGTGCTGTTCGCAAGTAGAGGCATTAGTTCCCATAAGAACTAATGCAAAGCTGGTTAATCAGTCTACCACTAGGGGGAGAATTTTTCTTCTTTTGACCTAAGATGAACTTAAGTTAAAAAAAAAGGACAGGAAAAGGGGGGGGAGGGAACACCTTCTAAACAGAACACCTTTAAATACAAGCAGCTTTTAAACAAAACCAAGCCAAGCACCTTTTAGCTTAAAAAAGGGCAGGAAAGGAGGGTAGGGAGGGAAGGAACAATGGGGAAAAGAGGAAAGAAAGAAAAAAGGTCATCACTGGGGCACACAGATTCCTCAGATAAAGGTTTGTGTTGTTAGCACAAAAAGAGAGAGAAGAAAGAGAGAAGACAAGGGGGGGAGCCTTGAATCTACAGTAGACTCCATTTAAACTCCATTTTAAAGCCTGCCTGCCTGCATCAACAAGCACCACAGTTTTCTGATTTAAAAAGAGACAGACCTTGGAGCCATATTTTAAACACACATTTTAAAACAAAAGACAGGTCACAGTACACAAACCCTAGAAGCCACAGAATCCAGCAAGCATTATTCCAGCACAGAACTCCTCATCACAAAAAGAAAGTTCACATTTCTCGCTTTCCCCACCTCCCCTGTTTTTTTTGTTTTGTTTTGTTTTGTTCGTATCTTCAAGCTCCATTCACAAGTAGAAGCAATATTTTGCAAACGGAGCTCTTCGTAAGCTGGATTGTTTGTAGCTAGGGACGTTCGTAAGCAGAGGTTCCGCTGCAGTTAGCTTTAAGTCTTGGGGATGACACAGTTGCTGAAATAGGGTTGCCTTGTTGGTAATTAAAGCAACTCTATTTTTAGGTGAAGCCCATTGGGTGTCATGCCTGAGACATACATAGAACCAGTCTTTCTTTTGGCAAAAGAGAAATTGGTGTAGCATCACACATTAGTGCTACATCATGAGATTTGTGCTCAAGTAAAAATATCTTTTTTTTAACCTTAACCTTGGACAAGTGCATAAAACTACGTTTCTAGGAGTTTTTGTACAGTAAGTGAGTTTCCTACTTAAAAATACTAATACTAAGGTAAAAAAAAATACTAAGGTACAGGGAGGCAGGATTGGTGCATTTTATTTACATGAAATATTGGTTCCACAAACAGATGTGTTCCTTCATTGTGTTTTTTTACCTGAAATTTGTATTTTCAAATAGAACTTTATGAACTTTATATCTGTAATTTTAGATCTATTGTTGCACAGGATTTCTGGCTATAACTGGTCAATTACACCAAATAAATGCTGACCTTCTAGGCTGGTGGCTTTGTGAACGTCAGTTGCCATCCGGTGGCCTTAATGGAAGGCCAGAGAAGGTATTGAGTTATATATATATAAATATATTAAATTTTAAAGTACTGAGGTTTGGGGACATGGAAGTGGTGTGAGAACAAATTCCAGAAGTAAAATTTGTGAATACTTTTTTTGGCAACTGTATGGGGATTGGATAAGTTATGGCTCTTGTTATGAGCTGAGCCCCATTCACTCACAATCTCTCTGTGGAGACCACATGTTGTAAGGGTAGTGGCACTAGCCTTGCCTTCCCCAGTCAAGATTTTTAGCATGTGAAAATTCAAGTTTAAGGAGAAAACTCTTCTGCCTAGATAGCCTCTCTATGAGGCAGAACCCCTGATTTTGTATTCAGAATCAGACTTAGCAAGTGTGCTGTTTCATAGATACTAATATTTATTTACAGTGGTGCCTCGCTTAACGACGATAATCCGTTCCAGGAAAATCGCCGTTAAGCGAAAACATTGTAAAACGAAATTAAAAACCCCATTGAAATGCATTGAAACCCGTTCAATGCGTTCCAGTAGGTTAAAAACTCACCATCCAGCGAAGATCCTCCATACGGTGGCCATTTTCGCTGCCTGTATAGTGAGGAATCCGTCCCTAAACACAGCGGGGAGCCATTTTAAGCACCCGGCGGTCATTTTGAAACCTGACGATCAGCTGTTTTTGATCATCGTAAAACAAAAATCGGTTCCCGAAGCAGGGAACTGAACTTCGCAAAGCGAAATTCCCCCATTTAGACCATCGTTTTGCAATCGCAATTGCGATCGCAAAAAGATCATAAAGCGGATTTGTCGTAATGTGGGGCAATTGTTAAGTGAGGCACCACTGTATTTACAACACTTATACTTTTCCTTTCTCAAGAGAAGTGAAAGAAATTACAATATTTAAATAGGTAGAATTTAAAACTTTTTAAAAAAGCCAGCCCCAGTTTATGAACCCCCTCTTAGGCAGTCAATTACTGAGGGAAAGCCTGTCTAAAGAGAAAGGTCTTTGCGTACTTGAGAAAGGACAGCAAAGAGAAGGATATTAGCCTGGCTTGCCATGGAAGAGAGCTCCACAGTCGTCTCTTGTGTCCTCACCAAATACAGTGATGGCTCGCATAACGAGCACACCGTTTAACGATGAATCCGCATAGCGATGCGGATTTTGCAATCGCTAATGCGATCGCATACCGATGTTTCTTCACATTGCGATGGGGGAACAGCTGTTTGGCGGTTCCAAAATGGCCGCCGGAACACCCAAAATGGCCGCCGGAACATGGGGGGGGTTGATCAGTATAGCAATGTTCCCCCATAGCGAAGGTTAATCCGGAATGGATTAACCTCGCTATGCGGGGCACCACTGTACATGTGTGAGGGTGATGGAACTGAGAGAAAGGCCTCTCCTGATAATTTTGACACCCAGGCAGGCTCATAAAGGGAGATGTGTTCTTTGTGATAGCTTATGAGTTTTTGTATGCTGTTTCTGTTTGATCTGACATTTTTTTGCTTTTGGTGTTACAATTGCAGTAATCTTCACATTTTTTGCTATTTTATTAACCAGTTGCCAGATGTATGCTACTCATGGTGGGTCCTGGCATCCTTGAAGATAATTGGCAGACTTCACTGGATTGACAGAGAGAAGTTGCGCAGCTTTATCTTGGCTTGCCAGGATGAGGAGACTGGAGGATTTGCTGATCGGCCAGGAGATATGGTAAATATTTCTTAACTTCTCAAATGGTAATGTAACTAAACTATGTTTCTGAGATTGAGAGAGATTGTGTGTTTAGTATGCAGGATTTGTAACTCTTCAGAATCATTCGTGGAACCATAATACTGGATCTTCCTTGTAATAAATCTACAAAGGTCTTCCCTCCTCATTTCCGAAAATGACTTGAAAGCAACTGAAATACGGTGCTTCTGATGAAACCTATAAGTTCCTAGGTGCAAGTGTGGGATACAGCTAATGAAATATATTTAGAAGTTGGGATCAAAAGGTTAAGTGCTAAAACATGGACATTTTAGTTTCTTTCAATCAGACTGTTGAGCATCTTGTTTCTCACTGCATTTGAACATCAGAAGATCTTCAGAAATAACTTATAAATATGAGGAGTTGGCACCCAGTTAGAGACGAATCATGTATGTGAGGGTTGTACAACATTGCCCTTCCTGTGGGCTGTCCTTGTAATTTTCCAAGTAGTGTGAGATCAGGTGTGTGAAGAAGAGCCTGTCAGAACAGATGTAGACCTTCCCTGATCGCCCTTGCACAGTCACATAAATAAATAGGAAGGCTAAGGGGTTGCCATTTAAAAAGAAATTGATGGGATAAATCTTGTGAATGTGCATAGACTTCTTTGCATTTAGACCTTCCACAAAGGAAATTAATTTACAGGTATAGGGATCGCTGCTGTCACTTGTCACTGTCTTTAAACCAGTGAATGTCAAATGAAATGTATAAAAGAACAAAACTATTGGAATGCTTTTCTTTCTGGCTATATGTTGAGCAATTTGCATTCTAGTTTGAACACTTGTTTTGTTTTGTTTGTTTTTTAAATTTTCGAAATTGGAGAGTAGTAAATTCTGAGACTTTGTAGTTAGATTCCTTGGTCCTATTCAATATAAATCTGCCAGTCTTGTTAAATGGCCAACTTACTATAAGAACCCAGTGTAAATAATTATAATGTGCATTCTTATGTGTCCTAGGTGGATCCATTTCACACATTGTTTGGAATTGCTGGACTGTCATTACTGGGAGAAGAACAAATTAAGCCTGTAAATCCTGTATTTTGTATGCCTGAAGAGATTCTTCAAAGAATAAATGTACAGCTAGAACTTGTGAGCTAGGGATTAATGTGTAACCCATTGTCATACGCAGCTGCTTTGAATTTTTCTGTCAAAAGACATTTCAAAGTGTGTTTACATAATAAAATTACCACTTTACTGTAAGCAGTATGATTTTTTTATGTGGAAGTATCCACAGTAATTAAATGTTATATGTGCTTCAGTTTTTAGTAACAGATGTACATACACATTTAAAGTGTCTTTTAAATATGTTTGCCTCTGGGCTCTGTTCCAGTCGTGTTACATACTGTATTAGCCACAGTAGATGAATACTTGAATTGTGTGACTTTATATTTATGACACAATCAGTTGCTCGTTTTGCTGACAGCATGTACTGGACTGTCTTGAGAACTGAGAAATGTACCTGCTTATGCCAGTGACACTTCATGCACTTGACTTACATTTTATGATCTGTAGTTTTTAAATCCAATTTGAATCATATATTCTTCTGTTAGATTATAGTAGAAATGTTATGGTACTCACTTTCTGCTGGTGACATGCTTTAATGAAGGATGATGTAATTATTATGTAATGGTTCAAAATAGCCTTGCTAAATTGTAAAATTAGTTCTTTTGCTCTAAAGCATGTATTGTAACTGATTTGAATTCCAGTTTCAGTAGCATTGTTCACAACAGTTGTACATAGTAAGGAAAAAGCTATAGAAGAACATTGTTTTTTTGCAGGACAAAATATTTACTTCCACAAGAACTCTAGAAGTGCCTCCATTTCACTTTTGTCACTACTGTGCATTTATAACTTGGCTGAAATCTGAGTATGAAATGAGATTTTGCTTGAAACAAGTTAAAGCTAATTATGCAATAAAGATTTAAATTGTACATGCTTCACTTAAAAGTGTAAGAGATCTGCATAGTTCGTGCATTTGCTGGTAAGCTGATAAATTGCAAGCTTTAGTAGAAGAAACATGTTTCCACTTCATTTACGGTGGCAAGTTTAACTGCTTACGAATTTTGCACAGTAGCACTAGAAGGCGCGAAGCAAGCACCAATTGGAATACCAGAATTGTTTGTGTTGAGACTAGATGGATTTGAACCTATTGTGCAATAAAATGTTAAGTTCTGAGACTTCCAATATGTTTTTTTGCGAAGCCTGAAACCTGACTACAGTCCTAATTCTGAGAAATGTAAATAGAGGTTGAAATTCATTATGTTGGCATACTTGTAGCTAACCTGGCCATAGAATCACACATAAAGCCCATTGTATTATGCAGTTAATTAGATTGGAACAGCAGTAGACAGCATATAAATCAAAGGGTTTTCCCCCCTGTGATCCCAAGAAGTTGATAATTAAGAAATTATTGCCAAAAATCGGTAGCATGTGTTCTACAGCTCTCTAGTGGTTTTCTCTGACAATTTGAATATTTATTTGACACTACACTGATGTTCTTTATCTTTTTTTAAAACCCCTAAGGACTAAGTAAATTATCTTGATTGTTTAAGGAAGTCTCTTTTTTTAGCTATACATTCATCATTGAGACTTTATTTCCTAACAAGAGAGTTTGGTTATTTCACCTCTCGTAGTCTTGCTAGTCACACAGCTGAGATTTTCCTGCTTTGGTTGCCTCTTGCTTTTCCAAAGTGATGAAGTTTTTGAATTTTTTAAAAAAATGTTTTAAATGGTTTAAGAAATTTGTAAGTGGATTTGATGAATTAGGACTGATTTTTATGACATTTAATGAAATAGTACTTAAATTTTTTAAGATTACTTTTTTACTGGTCCCCTATTTAAGTTTATTTGGGAGTTAGGGTTTAGTGACAGTTCTGATAATTAAAATTAATTTTAAAATGACAGCCATACTACTATTTTATGTTAAAAATATAAAAACTTACATTTGTAAATGAGTCTCAGGCCACATATTTTTGTGAGTGCAGTCTTTGAGTTAGTCTGAAAAATCATCCAGGCCTACTGAGCCTGCCTGCTCCTGGATTAAGAGATTAACAGATTACTAGCCAGTGGAGTCAAATATTTCAGCGTGGCTACAGATGCAAATAGAAGGGGAAGATGTGGAGGTAGTGACATTTTCCTTTCTTGGGCTCCGTGATCCCTGCAGATGGGGACAGCAGCCATAAAATTAAAAGACTCCTGCTTGGGAGGAAAGCGATGACAACCCTCTACAGCATCTTAAAAAGCAGAGACATCACCTTGCCAACAAAAGTCTGAATAGTCAAAGCTATCGTTTTTCATGTAGTGATGTACAGAAGTGAGAGCTGGACCATAAAGCTGACCGCCGAAGAAATGTTGCTTTTGAATTGTGCTGGAGGAGGCTCTTGAGAGTCCCCTGGACTGCAAGGAGAAGAAACCTATCCATTATGAAGGAAATCAAGCCTGAGTGCTCACTGGAAGGACAGATCCTGAAGCTGAGGCTCCAATACTTAGACATCTCATGAGAAGAGAAGACTCCCTGGAAAAGACCCTGATGTTAGGAAAGTGTGAAGGAAAAAGGAGAAGGGGACGACAGAGGATGAGATGGTTGGACAGTGTCATCGAAGCTACCAACAGGAACTTGACCCAACTCTGGGAGGCAGTGGAAGACAGGAGGGCCTGGTGTGCTGTGGTCCATGGGGTCATGCAGACCACGAAATGGCTGTTAACTTGCAAAATTTTACCAATGTGCTGTAAGATTGTGAAGAGTGCACAATGAGCTATCGAGCATTGAAGGATCTTTTTGCTTGTCTCAGAAAAGTTTGCTCATTCTTTAATCAGCTGGTGTTAAATGTAAATAATATTTTTAGCATATATAATCTCTTCTGCTTGAAAATTCAAAACTTTTCGAATCAACAAATCATTTTTTTAGCCGCCTTGGGTCCTTTTAAGGAGAAAGCCAGGTTAAAAATATTTAAAATAAATAATTTTTAAAAAACTGCTTGTAGAAGCGTACAACGAAATACACTGTACCTCCTAACAGAGCCGGTCACTGCTTTAAAAATGAGAGGCAACAACTTATCACAAAACAAATGGTATTATCAGTGGTCGCAAGACCTTCAGTTTTAGGTTCTGTCTATAAGGGGTAGAGGAATCCAGGATTAAGGCTCCTCAGAGGGTTTCTAATAAATATTTTATTACGGTCATTGACTTGTCAACATCCCTGTTTACAGCCTCTTAAGTCAATTTAGAGGCTGTAAACAGGGATATTGGCCAGCAAAAGTAAGCAACATTATTTAAATTAGGAAACATAAAATCGGAGAGTTCCGACTGGGTGCGTTTGCAGCCACAGTGTGGTAGCTACGTTTGGTTTTTTGTTTGTTTTATATTGGTATTTTGTTAAGTTCATAGGGCTGGCAACAGACATAATTCTGCATTCGAGGGCTTCAATTCGCCCCTAGCAACGCCTTCTCTGGGCAGCCCCAGTGGGCTCAGTGCGGCCGGTCGTCGCCTTCTGGCAGAAGACTGGGGGGGGCGCCGCCATCTCCGGTTCCCTCCTTCAGGTCACCCTCGCCGTCTCCTGAGGGGCCGATCCTAGCTAGACGCCGCACCTCCTGGAGAGGGAAAGGGGGGCTAATGCGGATCATACCGCTTACGACTCGAAGGGGTCGTCAGTTTTTTTGAGTGCTCCGCATATGGAGGAGACACCTCTCTACAGGTGGGAAACGAGGACTGAATGAATTAATTTCTCGACAGGTTTTTTTTTTTTAATTTGGGTGTGTTTGGCTGAATGGGGATTTAAAATAAAAAGTCCGAAGTAGAAATGGTATCCTCGCTCCCTCCATTTCAGCCCCTCCCTGCCGCGGGTCGACGTGATTTTGGCGGGCTTCTCAAAGGGAGCGCTTCGGACGCTCTGCTTGATGGAGGCGGAATCGGCTGCTTCCACCTCATACTCGGGCCGCTGCTCCTCCTCAGCGTCCGCGGAGCAACGGCCCCGGTACCAGTTCGGTTTGCAGGAGACGCCGGGCACCGGCGGGCCTCAGTCTTCCTCAAATGACGGGCCGCTTCGCCCTGCCCCGGCCTCCCGCCCCGAAAGGTTGGAAGGTGGGTTCTCTGTGTGTATAAACCCGACACGCTGTGTAGGCTCTCAGCACAACGAAGAGGTAGTTTGCCTCTGCAGAGATAGAGAAAAACACCCTAACCGCTAGTTTATCATGTTAAGACGCTCATTAGTAATTACTACGATTACAGCTTTTCACTGTAACCTGTCAGTACTGTAGTTGTTGTTAAGGCCACCAGATTGTGACACAGTTCTTCATTTTCTTACATTCTCTCTCTCTCCCCCATCCCCTTTTCCGATATGATCAGTGTTCCCAGTTGTCACTTAAAAGTGGGATTTTTGAGTAAACCATGCCATGTTGCATTTCAGGTTAATTTGCATATCAAGAAGTGAACATTTTCCTGAGTTGTGATAAAATGTCTTTGGCTTGTCCTCCAGCAGTGGAATGGAATATACAATTTATATTAAAATTAAAAATATTATTAGAAAAATCCCCCCCATCCTGTATTAACAACAATCACAAAGGACCCAGGATAGCATGGAAACAGCTCCAACTTAAATGCCATTCTTTGTGAAAAATGCATCTCTACAGGTGGACTCCAAACACCTGTTGCATTAAAACTGGGCATATAATAAACTATTGACAAGACTAGTTCACTTTGCTAAAGATCAAATCCTTAAAAAGTCAGCTGTTTCGCATCATCTCTGCACCTTAGTACTTAAGGCTGTGGTCCCAAGAATGCTATTAAAAGATTGAGGCTGCAATCCTGTGTCTACTTATCACAGTGTAAGCCTGGCTGAATGCAATAAAATTCTCTGTAGAGATGGACATAGGATTGTGATACAGATCCATGTGACCAGTGTAGTCCTGAAAAAAACCTAAAAAATAGATTATTACAATCCAAATTAGGCTTCTAAATGTTCATATACACTTAAGAGCAGTTTGTAGTACAGTTAGTATGGGAAGTTATGCCTGAGCTCAGAATTGTCGGGATAATTCTGTGGTCACAAATCCCCTTTGCATATTTTATAGCAGTGATCTGTCCTTTTATGTGAACCCACCAGTTATTCTAGCAGTAAAACAAAATACATCCATTTTAGGGAAGAGGGATTCTTGCTCCAGATTTGTGGAGTTCAAGACCATATACATAAGATTTTGAAGCAAGTTAATTGGCAATTAGTATATTTGTGCCTTAAATATACATAAGACATGATGTGCTTTCCATTTTTAAAAAAAAACACTCATCAGTGTGTATTAAAATTTCTTGAACCTGCACTGAAGCTAGTTTGTCAAGAAACATGATGACTTTAAAAATTGTACTTATTGCATTGTGTTACTTTCAGGCATTTCTCTGAAATGAAATGTTTCCCTGAGAAAAACGCCTTTCACTACTTGCAAATCTTCATGTTGTAAAACTTATTGAAGTAAAAGCGGACTAAATTTTTAAATAGTGTCAAAACCATAGATATGGGCAGTGTTACTCGTAATTAGACTGCAATTTTGTACTCACCTGGAAGCAAGCCCTCAGGGAGACTTACTTTTGAGTAGATAGAGGATTATGATATCAGCACCTTTTCACAAATGTCCCTCAGTGAGTGGACAGTTAAGGGAACAAGATTGCTTAACGAGTGGAATGTAGATTATATTCCATTTCATGCTAAAATAAATAATTTATAAAAAGGTGGGGAGAGAGAGAAAGAGACACTCTTGGCAATGTAATTTATCTCTTTATTTCCATTCTTTGTTCAAAGTCCTAAACACACTAGTGAGTACGTACATCTTACAGAGCACACAGCGTGGCTTAAAATTTTAATTCAAATGCATACGATTTTGCTGTACAATAAACGTGAAGAAAATAGTTGTTTTCTACCTTTTCTGGTAGGAAAATTGAATGGTGCTAAAATAACCAGAAGAGATGTAGCAGAGAATTTATACAGAAGAAAATCTGTGGAATCTAGTTTTGTTTGCAAGGGTGGCATTTTCTTTTTAACACTTAGTTAGATTGAGACTAATTAGTCATGCTTTAGTTCCCCTGAAATCAGTGGGATGTTAATGTTTTAACCTTTCCCCTTGATTTAAACAGGATTAAAGACATAATTCTGTAGCCTCTGCAAGAATAGTGTCCCAGGCTGTATAGGAAACTAGACCTCACATGCTGCAGGTAGACATGAAGATCCATCAAATATCTAATTCCCTGTTCTTGAAATATAGAAAACTGTTCCTGCTGTGGAGCTGGTTTATTTGTTCAAATGGAATGGGAAATAAAAAGTACTCACCTTAAAAGGAAGGTAAAAAAGGTGAAAGGAAACTTGTCCTCCAGCACAAATCCAGGAGGGTTAGAAAGTGGACTTCCCTTGCTTTCCATTGATCTTAATAGGATTGTTCTTTAAAGCAGAACTGATTAAGTCTCTCTATCCAAGCAGTTAAGTACAGCAGGATTAAAATTTTTACTAGGTGCTGTTCATATTGTGTGACTTTGGGAGAAAAAGTTGCTGTCACTATATATGAAGAGCAGTTTGCTTTTACATTTTTTAGATTCATACTTTGGAGACAAGAGTTCTTATGCAGAAAACATTAGCACAGCAAATTTGACAAGCCCATCTTCAGCAAGACATAATTCTCGAGTCTGGAAAACACCTCTTTCATCTAGTAGAGCTGGATATAGAAACTGGACTCCTTTCATGGGACATTCAGGTAGAGTTGACCTACTTTTTTAAAAAATGCAAATATAGATATTATAATGAAAAGTATTTGGATTCCAGCGATTTGATCCTGGGTCCAGTTGAGAGCAGACTCAGTGAGTGCATTGTAAGGCTGGGACTACACTGGCAAATCAAATTGCTCTTGTATTACAACTGAATTTACAGTCAGTGATCACACAGTGGTGGTAGATTGATTCAAGAACTCAATGTTCATACTTGTAATCTTAGAACTGCAGAGCTAATATATCATTACTAGCAATAAAGTACTAGTACTAATCTCATATATGTAAAAGAAGAAGAAACTAAGGATGGTCAAGGGCAAAGAACACCAGGATGAATGTTCCTGTAGTCTGGAATATCATGTCCAACATACCGTACTTCTTAACTTTACAAAAACAAATCAAGTGATCACACAGAAAAAGTCCGTCAAATCATTCCGGCTTGAAAAATGTAGATGCTCACAGTGGCAGACAAAAAAAGTCATGTTGAGAGCTAAAAGGCCCAGACTGATCAGAAACTGCCTTTGTGTCATGTGATCAGAAAAAAATACTTTGAATTTTCTGTACTATAACTGCAGCAAATCCCACTGTAGTTGATTGTGTTGTCACAGCACAGGTCTGCTCTAAGTATGAATAAGTTGGGATCCAGTCCCATACAAAGTTTCATTTATATTCAACCACAATGGTTGTTTAAAAATATGTATCTTTAAGAACTTTCCTCACTGCTGCTGCAAAATGGTAAGATGTGAAAAAAAAAACTGTATTATCCAGATTAAGATACATTTGAAGATGTACTGTGTGTTTCCATAATCATTATATAAAAGTTTTTGTATAACAAAAAATATGCTGGATTGAAGGTTAGGGCAGCAGTGGCACTCATATGACCCAAGAAGCTATTTTGGGGTACAAGCTATTTGGGGGTACAATTGGGCTGCTCCTATGTTGAGAACCCATGGTGAGAAGGAAAAGCTGAGAAGGAAGCATGGGAGAGATGTATCAGCATTTTCTAATGTTAGTGATTTATCCACTTTATAGCTGTAATTCGTGAATTTAGTAATGAAGCTTCAGATATGTATAACATAAGAATTGCCTTGATGGAGCAGATTAAAGTTTCATTTATTCCAGCATTCTGTTTTCAAAAGTTAACAGCCAGAAACTCTTGGAGAAGCTTACAAGAAGGAAATAATGGTAATCAGCCCTAATTTTTTTTAAAAGTTTATTGCCTCTGAATATTAACTATAGAGAGTAAATAACTTGATTGTTCACACTTTTGTACCCATGCCTTTGCTATACGCACATATTGGATTTTTTGCAGAAGTACAAAAGAACTTTGGAAAAAAGAGCTTTCATGGAGATGAAACAAAAAAAATATGCAGTCAGGACTAAAGCTACATATTGCCCTTCAGATACTCATAATTTGAGGTAACTTGGCTCTCCAGAGGGCATGGGACTCAAGCTTTTTTCATCAGGAATTACTGTATACTGGACCTGATACAGTAGTATAAGGAGGTCCAAAAATTCCTTACCCTTGGGGTGGGGGGGGCAACTCCCAATGGAATGAATAGTGGAATGGGCAGACTATAAAAGAGGACATTTGTATGGGTCATTTCCTAGTTACACCAAAAGCTGCTTTTAAATGTCCTCAAGGCTGGACGTTAGAGCTGCCCATAGAAATCAATGGAGAAACCCAAAGTTTTAATGTGGCTGGGACTGAACATTCCTTCTGAAAAAAGACCCTCACTGAAGACTGGCATTCTCATTGGAAATGGAATGCTGGCTGACTAGCACTGGGAAATGAGGTGAGAGTGGGAACGGGATGGCACTGCTGGAGCTATGAGGAGAAGCCCTCCACACTAACATTTTGTTCAGGGTGCCAGTAGTTTCCTATACTCAAGTTTGGAAACATGTACCGGTACTATTGTGGTCATAATTTCACTATCCATGCGTAGGAGGGGGACACTAGAAGACCTGGAGAACATCACGTTTTAAAGAATACTGAAATAACTTTAGAGGGGTATGTGATGATAGGCTGATGAAGATTCAATTTACTGAGTGGCAAGAAGCGCTAATTGGAGGAGACAAGAAATTGGACAAAAGAGTAGAGGTTGGGGGCATTGCTGAATGGAACTGGGGCCAATCTTAGGCTGCAGTATTTTGTTGTCAAAGGACACTCTTTACTGCTGTTTTCATTTGCAATGGGTAGAAATCTTTCTGCTGCCCCCTTCTTGCTTTTCACATCTCATGGAGCATTTGTAGCAAATCTCTGATTTGTTCACTTTACTAATGCAAGTATATAAGATGTTTATTAAGGTAGGCCTAACAGTTTGTTGCATTTTCTCTTCTGAATGGGAGGGTAGAAGTAAAGGCATATGTAGCTGAGTTCCCCTTCATTATTGCAGAACAATTTTAAAGAAATTATGAAATGTCAGTTAGTCGGTTGTTTGCCTTTTTAAAAACAATGTAGAATGCATGGTATCCATTTTTTTCAGCGAATACTGAGTATCTGTAATTATACCATTCCAAGATATGAGAGGGTTAGCAAATGGGAACATTTAGAGTCATATAACTGATATGAGATATCAGTTATAAACTCCTCCTTTTTCACAGAAATGTTGTGTGCCTTTCTGCTGCGTATTTCAGTTTCTTAGGCTTTATCAAAAAATTCTTGAGCTAAGTATGCATCATTTCAGGGATAGCTTAAAACTATTGAACTAGAATTATAAAAGTTTATATAGTTTTTCAGCATATCTTTTTTGTTTATTAGTGAAGTTGTCCAAATGAACAGCAGGGGGCAGTGTAAAATTATATTACAATTTTGTTGTAGATTGAAACCCTAAACCTTATCTAGCTACAGTATTAATCAACTACTATGAAGAATTGCAATTTTAAATGATAACGTTTGTCAGGCTAAACTATCCTAAGAAAGATATTAATAAATTAAATCCTTAGTTGTTGGGAAACTAGTTTAGATTTGAATGCCTTCACCATTGGGTGGTATATAAGAGGGCTTGAATCCAAAACATCAGCAGATAGGCACTACTGTTCATATGGGGGGGATGGGGTCTATGGCTTGTGCCCCCCATCCGTCCCTCTTTGCTATATTCTGCACCATGCCTCCAACCTTTTGGATTAGCATTACAGAGAGCACTGAACTTAAGCGTAGGAGAAGGTGGGAAAGTCCAGTGTTTACAATCCAAACCATCAGAATCCTCCCAAAGATATATAATTTTGCAAATACTGTGTGATAAAATGTTCATATTTATATTGTATTTGGTATGTTTTTGCCCATTACATGTTAAATATCTGGGTCAGAATCTTACTGGTTAGTTATACTGGCATATGTGCAATGAAACAAATTGTAGTAGCAAGTTATTGCTTGTTGACAATATGCCACTTGTAGTCCTCATCAGCCTTTCATGAGAGTTGGTGTGCAACAAGGGATACAAATGGCAAATCATTAACTAGCGGCAGTTTGCTACTACTGCTTAATAATAACAACTATGGACTGTCAAGTCAATTCAGACTTATGGTTACCCTTTCAGAGTTTTCTACCTAGGGAACACACAGAAGTGATTTACCATTCCCTTCTTCTGGGGTTACCCTGGGACTGTGCAGCTTGCCCAAGGACGCACAGGATGGTTCTAGAAAACTGAACTCCCAACTAGAAATGGGCACTTATCATGATTTGGCAGATCAGGCCCACCGGTATTGTGTGGGTACCCTGGATTCTGCACCCTGTTTCCCCCTGTAGCCAGTCACTCAGAAGTGGCTTATTGTTTACATCACTGCATCTATGATGGCATAGCTAAATAATAACATTCTAACTCTTTGAAATTATGATTAAATTTTTGGCTTATTCCTGTTTGCACACATTAAAACATATAATTAACTCTAGACAGATTAGTTTTATGCTGAACTGTTGTATCCCAATGCAGGGTCATCTCTGTAAAAACAAAACTAAAAAAAATTATTTGGATATCTACCATTTCCGTAGGAATCTTCTGCTCTCCAGAGTAAGCACAAACTATCACAGCTTAAAGACCCAGAGGGACTCAAGATTGCAACCCTGCAGCCATGAGGAAAACAATGAGACTACATAATAGGAAGGGGATATCATATGCTACATGGGTTGTATGTGGCCCAAGCTTTTTTTTTTTAATTTGGCTGGACCTTCCGCTCCCTTCAGTTTCTCTTCTGAAAATAGGAGAACTTGTGCTTCTAAGAAACCTTATGTGAGATGGGAGGCAACTCAGAGACATCACTCGCTGGAGCACTATCCATCCTCAACCCAAAAAATAGGACTGAGGAGAAAAACGAATCAGAGATTGTCCAGAAGGGGGCGCAGAATAAACACCTTAAGGCAGCGATGGCGAACCTATGGCATGCATGCCGCAGCTGGCACACGGAGCCCTGTCTGCCAGCACACGAGCCATAAGTCAACAGATCGCTACTCCCCCCTGAAACCAAACATGAGAAGGTGGCTGCACCCATGGTTCTGGCGCTTCAGTAGGCAGATCCGGAGTAGCTGGTTGCAGATCCGGAGTGGGGTCTCAAGGCACCTCCATGCCTGGGATTCCCCCCTCCGCCACCACATCTGGTTCTGCCACTTCCGGTTCCGCTGCAACAGCACGCCACCCGCTAGTTTTTTGTGGGTTTTTTTCCCAATTTGGGCACACAAACCCAAAAAGGTTTGCTGCCACTGCCCTAAGGGGAGGGAACCGGAGACCTTGATCCAGTGTATGAGGGGGGTGGGGATAAGTGAGAGAGGGACAAAAGAGGCGGGAACCAAGAAGGGGGGAGGCAAAGAGAGAGAGAGAGAGAGAGGGGCGAGGTAAGTGGAAGTTATAAGGAGGGATGAGTCTTTGTCTCTGGCTTGGGAGTGGCTATGGACCAAAGATTCCTGGAATGATAAATGGGAAAGGATCAGGGTACCCAGAGAGGAGACTGACTACTGGAGGAGGTCTGCTATCCCCGTTAGACCTTCTTATTGGGG